CATCGATTTTGTTAACATGAGAATTCCTAGAATTTTGCCAGAGGTGCCTCTGATTTTCTTTTTTCCCCGCCATTGTTCACTGGTATCTATTAAAGCTTAACCACATGTGGGTTTTTAAGACTGCCCAGCATTTGTGGGGGAGGAGTGCAGCATCTGCCAATATGAAGCAAAACATCCTCAACTCCCCACCCGGTACAGCAGTGAAATTAGATCTGTTGTCAGCCGAATTGCACAGCAAATCACAGCTGTGCCTGTCCCAGACATATGGTAGACGAGCCAGTGGGAATCAGTTTGGAATCAATAGGAGATCAATGTTGATGCTGTTGCTACACCGCTACCGCTTGCTTGGAGCCACAGGAAAAGGAAGCTTGTGCACAGCGTGAGGAATAAATTGCATTAGTAATACGAGATGCAAAAGGAGTAACTTGTGGTGGAAAAATAAGTAAGGGTTTATGAGCTGAAAATTAAATATTGTGTGATACTCCTAAGATGCATTTTTTGCTTAAAACTGAAAAAAGACGTTTGCAATGTTGTTTGCCTTGGCCAACAAAACTGAATAGTGTCTGTTTCTGTGTTGTGACAGTCTAGATTGCTGCAAAGCAAGGTATTGTGCATAATTAGTAGGAAAATGTGTGAACAGATGAGCAGCAGTTCTTAAAAGTTAATGATTATGAATTCTCTTCCTTTTGTAATTTTTTGGCTCTAGTCCAAGCCGAGCAGACAATCAGCTACCTCAACGGATAGTTTCTTAATTGGCCTGAGCATGCTGTTGCCAGCTGGAGCCCAAAGCCATGGCCGTGTCTTCTGACCTTCCCCTTGTCAGCAGTCAGATCAGCTTGCCGAGGCCTGAAAACATTGGGKTTTTTTTTGTTTTATTTTTTTTTTAATTCCTGGTTCGAGTTTGTCAGGGATCAGTAAGCTGATCTGACTTGACACATGGCTTCAAGGTTGTTACTGCAGCCGCAACAAAGGCAGGGAGTAGGGCGAGCTGCTCCCTTGCAGTAATGTAAGGTTCCCACTTTGACTTAAGGCAGAAATTGTATTGTCTGTCCAAAACTGCAGGCTGGAAAAACTCCTAATTAACCAGCTTTAGCTCTTCGCTTGGTTATCTGTGGATGTCTCTTTGTGTATGTTTGGAGTTGACCTAGTTTAAGTTGCTTGTGATTCAGGTCTTGCCTAAATCTCATTGGAATCCAGGAATTTTGAATTTCCTTAAGTAGGTTGTATTTACTTGTGTTCTTGGAAACCTCTCACGTCAGGATCAGGCTACTGGAAAATGATGTTGTGGTTGTGCATTTTGCTATGGGGYAAGAAAGGATGCACATAAAGAAGTTACTCTTCTGTAGGGTACCTAAATTCCCCCAGAGCCTCAGGGCTTTTAGAGCTACATCTTTCAGGGAAGCATCCAACCGAGTGTGGGTCATTCCTCAGTGCTCCTCTTTGAAATTATGTTACTGTGGTAAAGCAAGAATGAATAAAATCCASTATCCTTGCTAGGGCACTTGCTTTGGAGGCAGGAGAAGTCATGGATTTTTGTTCCCAGGACTGTTTCTTTGTTTTTCTCGAATGACTATTTGGTGTGAAATGCAAGAAAATGCCTTTTTTTTTTTTTTTCCCCAACTTTATACACAGTTTAGCTTGTATTGTTTAACAGCCTGTAGTTAGAGTTCTAATTATTCTCTTTAGTGGTTCTGAATGACATCTTTATTCACACACAGAAGTCTTCTGTTTTTAATGTCAGCCTTTGAATATAGTGATTTATATATGCTTGAAATGATGTAGAAAAYATTTCTGTGAAGAAGCTTTTTCAAAGGCCTCCTGTTCTATAGATGCCACTTCCTAAATGAGGCAAGGAAAAATATTCCTCTGAAGATTCTTCAGTATTATAATTGGAATAAACATATTTATGGCCATACATCTCACTGGGAAAAAAGTAATGTATAAATTGATCTGCACTTTTTCCGTTAATATCAGGAGAGTCTCATGAGTAAAGAGTGGCAGTGACATTAAACTTTGCATGGCCAGAGTTTCTTAGCAGCTTGATCTGAAAACTTTATGTATTTTAAAGGGTGCATAAAGTTATAATTTCAGTGGAGAAATAACTTTTTTTAATTTTAACCAAATGAGAGCTATGCTCTCCTGTGACTTGCTTGCCAGTAGTATTGCTACTTGTTTTGTCAAATTTAGTTCTGAATTATTTTAATATACCAATCATATTTAAATAAAATTGATAGGAAAATGAAGATATGCATTCATGCTGTGTTTATAGTGCATATGAGATTTGATAGTAAAATGTTTTTAACTCAAGACTGATCTTTTCTTGGAAAACTAGTTAAATTTGCCTTTTAGGTTAGTTTAACCCCTCATAGCAGTGGGATTTCTGAGTCTTGTTTCTCAGAGAAATTTATTGAAAATTGACCTCTTGTGCCTTTAGTTTGCAAGCACTTCTAGTGTTTTTCTGATGGCAATTTCTTTCCTCACATTGTGGAGCAGCAGTAGGAAGATGCATCCTCTGAGATGGCGAATGTTTTATTAAAAGGCAGCCTGAAGGGTGCTTGTTGTGCAGCTGCACAACTCCTTGGCATGTTTCTTCCACCTTCCTTTCAGTCTGTCCTTCAGATGGCTCTGGGAAACACAATTTCCCTCAAACAGGCCTTGGCAGTAGGTTAAGAAACATTTTGGTCTTGATGTGTGCTTTGTCCACACGTAAATTTGTTTTGTTTCTCTAGCGTTTTACAGAGACATGAGCATTCTGTGTGCCTTTACCTGGGCAATAACAACTTCACTATAAACTTATTTCCATGCTTACAAATGAAATACGGGGATCAGCTCTTAACTAGTCTGGAGAACTGTTTAATAGTGGGATATCTTCTAGAATAAGGAGCAACACCCTAAATTAGGGTGCCTATGAGATTCTGTTTTGGGCTAGGGCTTAAAAGAGCTGGTAATTAGAAGTTGCTTCAATGTGCAGCATGAGGTTCAGATTTTCTTTCACCGAATTTGCAGCATCACATATGGCCAACATCTGACCTTGGTAGTAGTTAATTAGGTCTTTGGGTGCTTTTCTGTTTTGCTGTCAACAGTATTTTATTTAAGTTCTTGTTATTATATTGAAAATTTTATACATGTGCTAGGCTGTGCAGCTGATAATAAAAATTGGGAAGTGCAAAACTCAGGCTACTGAAATTTCAACATCTTAAAATGTTATCCTTATTCATTTTCATTAGTATGGATGTTTGAATTGCACTTAGATTAGCTAGAGTTTAAATTTTTCACAGACTCTGTGTTTCAGAGAAAGTAGAGCATAACTGCAGTGTCACAGAAAAGGTCTTTTTGCTCTTTATTTGGTTTAAATAACTGAAAATAGCAATATTTGTTGTTGTTTCTTGCTTACTTGGGCAGATCATAAATTAAGCTCTGTTTATTTTTTTTCCTGTAAGAGGCATTTGTGTTCCACAGCTGAGCAGCTTAGTTCTGCACAGAAGAAAACGTTCTTTATGTTTCCTGCTTCTGAGCAGTGAAAATCCTTGAGTTATATCTCTATTAAAAAAAAACAAAAAAACTCAGAAAAAAATGATTCAAAGTATGAATCACATTACACCGTGTAGCTGATGTAGCTGATACAGACGCATGTTGGGCACATACAGCAAYGCAGTATGTAACAATATAACATTTTGATTGTGAAAATTGTGGCAAAACTTGATATTGTTTAATTTTCTTTTTTAACTTAAATTATAAAGTGAGTGTATTTCAGGCTTATGGCATTCTCTAACTGTTCATTGTAGAGACATTTTTCATGGTTGTAATAGGAGAAATAATTGAGTAAGATCACTGAAGACATAAATTATGAAAAGGCTCTAAGCATTTCTTTGGGTATAGAAAGAAAAAAACCCTGTTTTATGATCTGCACATAGTATTATTTTACTTGCAGAGCTGTTGTGGCCCGCGGTTTTCTTTTCCACTGGAGCTTGATAGTGCAAGTTTAGCTGGCTGATTTTTCTTGCAGAAAAATCTTTTTCTTAGAAGGAAACTCTTCACGACTTCAGCTTTTGTTATGTTAAACAGGAATATTGGGTATATATTTTTCCATTATGGAGTAAGTAGTCTTCTAGTTAATAGAGCCAGATCTAAGGAAGAAAGGTAATGCCAGAAGCCTAAGTTGCTGTAGAAAATTCTGCTGTTCAGTAGGTGTCTGTTCGCAGTGCTCACTAAATTTGCTGCTTTTTTGTCAGAATGATCCCTCAGTTCTACATTTTCCCTTATGTGTGTTTGTATTAATGGCAGAGTGTCCCCTTTGAGTCTTCGTAAGACTGATAAGTAGAAGCACGTGACACCAGCAGATAATGTGACACTGTTASTCTTGAACAAGGAGTTTGTGAAGGCTCTGCAGATTTGAGAGTGGAGACAGAGGTTTGAAGAGTGTAGGAACTTCTCCAAATCCTCCTGTTCTCCTCCCTGTCCTTCTGCAAATATCAGGTTTTCCACTCGTTTTATAGGAGGTTTGGGACATGTTCGTATCGTACAGTTACGCAGGATGGAAGCTGCTGGGTGGAAGCTACTGGGTGGAGCTGGCAGTCCAGAAGCGCTCTCATCTATTTCATACTCCTCCCAGTGTTTTGAGCATATTGCAGCGTCCTGCATGAGCATCGCCTCCCCCATGTTCCAGTTTTGTTTTGCACTCCTTTGGTGGAGAAGGAAGTGGCTTGATGAGAGAAGAGGGAAAATCTGGGCGAAAATTCTTGTTAGTGGTTAGAGACTAACAGGACACTTAGTTAGAAGGGATTATAGGCTCCAGTCATCTCTCAGGGCTGTGTACTTTTATGGCCTTTTGACAAGAAGAATTTGGGGAAGGTTTGCTACGAGTTTTAAATGCACTTCATTTGCATGTTGAGTGTAACCRTGTCAAACTGTGTGTATTTAATTCATATAAGTGAGGAAAATAAAAACRTAGATCCACCCTTCAGCCCACCAAAGTTGAGCGTTTCAAAGCACTGTCCCTAATGACCAATTCTTTCCTTTGCAGCTGCAGCCGCCTTCGACAAATTCAGAGCATCCTGACACAGAGCAGCAAATCTCAGCCTGATGGAATCCTTTGCATTTTAGGTTGGTTGTCTCTGTCTCTCTCACGCTCTGTCCTTTTTTTATGCCCTCTTTTGTCCTCCCTGTACTGATAAAGATGCCATGAAAGATGACTGTCATCTCTTACTCCCCCGCTTCCCCCAGCCTCCCAGCCTGTTTGTCAATGAGGACAGCTAGCTGATTGCTGCTCTTTTCTGCCCATAGAATTCATTGGCCTATTTACTAATTCCGGCAACTTTCAGATATGGTAGTAACGATATCAACATTCTTCCAAGCCTTATGAAAATAAGTGGTTAGARAGAAGAGAAAATCTTTGTTAATGTCCATATGGAAGGAAACCTGGGGAGAACTTAAGCTGTATCTATTTGAAGTACATGGTCATCCAAGCAGCATTTGTCATCTCACTGGCAGTTGAAATAAAAGCTGGAGGCTGAAGGCTCATGTGCTGCAGCTGGTTGCAAGACTATGTTGGTGAGGCTTGGTTGGGAAGTTAAAGAACTGGAGAAAAAACAGAGCGCCAAGGTTAGGGAACGTGATATGAAGGGCTGTTGCGGGTGGTGGTCAGGCACTGGCTTGGTTTGTAAGAGMTGCATGAAAATTTGTAGAAAAATTGGCAGCTAATTACTACTAGTAATTTTAGGATTACTAAAACTGAATTCACTTTAAGGGAAGCTCAAGACCTTTGGGAAAAATAATTCAAAATATTAAAGGTCAAATGGGAAGCCTGGGCAGCAGTTATAACTGAAATGGTGCAACATAAAGAGCATGCAATTTCAGTATTTAGTCATTTATTCTCAGGGCAGAGGAAAAGTACAATATAAAACAAAGCTGTGCATGCAGACATACTGTACAAAAGTAATAGGCATTTCATATAGTTTCAGTATCACTGTGTGAACATTGACTTTTGGGTCTGACTATATAATAGTTATATAGTTATATGTTTTGAATGATGTTGCAAGAAAATTTGAAATTTTGAAAACTTCTTCTAAAGAAGCTTTACTTTCTGGGTTGTGAAAAAATGGGTAAAAACACAGAACCTTATTCTGTTTTGCTATATGCTCACTATATAACAAGACTCTTTCTATTCCRTGTGCTGCTCTGTAATAGTTTAAGAAATCTTTTGGCTAAAATAATCTTACCAGCTAGAAGTTGCATGTGGTGTCTACTTGGCAACCTTGCAACGCTTTATTTTACCAGATGAAGTACTTGTTTTTTGCCTTTGATGCCAGTCTAGCTTTGTAAAATACAGCAAGCCATGTCAACTCTCAGTTCTCGCCATGCACACGTATGTCTTTGACTTTCTCAAATTCTGAGGCTGTGGTAAGTCCCAAGCATAAAAGGAGTCATTCAAAAGACTCCTCAAGAGATGTTGTTTCTATGGCATTAGGGAAAACATTGCATGCAAAAGGAATCCTGTTCTCTAAGCCTCGGTGAAATGTGGAGCATTTAAAGCCTTACAGAAGACCATACCTCTTAATAAATAAGCATTTCTGTTATGGAAATGTATGAAGTGTGTTTTTTTCATTAGACTTGTGCTTTATACTAATCTCTTTCTGTACCCACAATAGGGCTCTTGTTTAGTCTGCCCGATCTGATATCRGCTGTAGCGTTTCCCACATAATTTCTGGTCTAGCAGCAATGTCTCTGTTATAAAGGCATTAAGTCTTCAAATACRTGCTTCATATGGCAAAGTTCAAAAGGACTAAAGACATGAGAATATTTAATTTCTATGGAAACCAAATAGGGGTTATACATATGTCTGCATTTCCTTCCAGACAACACATGTTCCATTTCTGTTTGCTAACTTTTAAGTACTTAGAATTTAACAACCCCCCCGTTCCCCTTTAATTTTATATACTGGGCTATAAGATAAAGCAGTGTATACTCTCATTGCTTCTTTCCAGGTAGATTAAAATCTATACTGAAATGAAAAACAGCTTGGTAAGGTGCCCAAGAGAGGGGAGAACTTAAGCTTGATACAATTACTTAAAGGTAGTTGCAGCTATTTTTAAACAATCCTATATTTCTTGTTTATKAAATGTTTGAATGGTAACATACGTGCATCCTTGGCCAAGGAAAACACATCATCACAACTGATATGAAAAAGAAATCTGCAGGTGGGGAGAGAAGAGATAGTTGCCAGCCATGGCTTTAATTAAAGTTGTGAGGTCTTGTTCTTCTAGAAATGGGATTATTGTTGTAACAGTAGCTAAGAAAATTGCAATTTTTGTAAATAAATATTTTTGTATTTACAAATATGTTTATATATTTCATATATATAATATGTTTATATTTCATACATATACATAATATATATATATTTCATACATATATATATTTCATATATAAATATATTTATATAAATATATAAATATATAAATATATTTACAAATTTTTGTAAATAAAATTTGTATTTTTTTCAAGCCGTGGCATTTCTTTCTTTTCACCAGAAATTTGTACCTCACTATTAAGTTAATCTGGTATTTGAGGATGCGTATTTGGTACCGAAGTCCATCTTTACAAGTTTTAGGAAATGTCTGTCCTGCTTTGAGCTGCTGTTTGTAGGATGGGAGAGAAATCTAACCAGCATTTTAAACTGCTCATTCATCCTCTTCCCTCTTTCAATGGAGGCAGTTTTAATGATGAATGCACGTGTGTTAGATGGCTTTTCCACCAATTCCTAGTGCTTTTGGGCAGCCATCAGAATATTTGTCCCTTCTTGGCAGCCCCACCTTCCTGCTGGCCTCCCAACTTGCGTCCCCAGAGCTCACGTGCTGTTAGACATGGTTGTTAGGGAACAAGTATTCTTCATTTTGATAAGCAGGGAATGTCAAAAATGCGTGGCCGGGACAAAGAGAGCCAGGCTGCTTTTACATATAGATTATGTTTGTGTCAGCTTAGCAACTGGTGGGCAAGCACGTGAGATGGCCAAGCCCTCTCAAATACTTTTGGTCTTGGAAAAGGATAGTCCTGACCTGTCCCTCYACTGTTCTGTTCCTCTTCTCCCTCCCCACATGCCTTTTTACATCACTTCTGGTGCTTATTTGATCTTGTGAACTGGCTTCATCTTATTGAACTGACAGAATTTTTCTATACGTGACTGAACTAGTTTTCTTCCACCATCGCAAACTGAATCAGCCGTGTGAGAGGTCAGATAAGCCCTGAACGCAGGAGAAGGARGAGCAGGAATTGCTCCTTGGGCTACCAGATAAACTGAGTCATGGTCTTACTATACCCTTAAAGATTGGGCCTTATTGCCCTTGCACAGCTCAGCTGGAGCCAGGCCTGTTGCATCACGAGCAACTTTCCCCTTGTTCTCCTGAGGCCTCGTGATGTGTTTTATGGAGGTATCTTGGTCATTGTTTCATTTCCTGTTTATTTCCTGCTGAAGGCATCTCTTTTTTTAACTCCATATGGTTGTGTAGCATTAAGGCCCGATATGAGAAATCCTGCTGGTATTTGGTGCTAAAGCATCAGGTATTCTATGAAGTTGCTGGCTTTTGGGCACACAGATAACATTCCTTTCTAGCCCATGTGTGCTGGGCAGGCAATGCTTTCACTCGCATCTTGTTTTTATAAGAGTTCAGCTTATCAGCTGCTCTTTTGTTAAGAGCAGCTGCCTTTCTTTAATCTTTTCTCTCCTTCTCATGTGGAAAGTCCCAACTCATTTYATTTTATTCTGCTTCTCTACGTGTTACTCTGTGAGCCTGTCTCTGGCCATGYTGTCTTGGCTTTCTGGACTTCAGACTCCCTAACAATGAGCCTGATAGGGAAAACACAAATATAGTGAGGTGGCCCTTTCATCCATGGTGTTTGGATCAGYGTTGAGGGTGTCTCGTTGGAATAATGGTTGAGCTGATAGATGATGTTTGCTCGTGAAACATTCGTGAAGCCTAAGAATGAGCTCACACAGAACATCAGGTCTAAGAGTTTGCTGTCGCTGGAGGGGACCATCCTGACTCCTGTGTTGCACTAAAGTGGATGCTTATCTGCCTTCAGAAGCTGCTTTGGTTAGGCAAGTGAGCAGTAAACCAGATTACCTTCAGATCATGTGCCACAGGCGGTGACATTCCGATGGGATGGTTGCTTCCTGGAAAAATGAAGTCTCTGCATTTGGAGAATCCCAGCTGGCCTTGAGCCAGGGAGCTGTGGTGCTGAGCTCAGTTCTACTGAGTATCTGGGTTTGTCCCTGTTTTGTAAGAGAGGCCTTCAGTTCTCTGTTTGGTTTTTATTTAAGAAAAATATGCTCTGATGGAGTGTGAGTAAATGGGAGAACAGTGCTAGAAATAAAACCTCAAAGGAAGAACAGAATTACAAAGGTCCCGTAGCTTCATCCCCATCTAAAGAGACGGCAGTAGGCGCTGCAAGCCTTGCTACATGGAGGCRATGGATTCGGTTTGTCTCCTCTGCAGGTTGCGACCAAATACTTGATAGCTGGGAACAGGCATTATTTAAACATCAAATATTATGCAAACGAGGGTGGTTTAGTAAAATATGGGACCCAAATGGGTGCAAATGCAGCATGTGGTTAGTGCTCTAAAGCTAAGGCATAATTAAAATGAGGATACAGTTAGAAGTGACCTCCACACATACAAAATTGGAACAAACCATAGTGTCTCCCAAGCAGTTTGGTTTCTGATGCAACTCCTGATCYCAGACATCCAGGCTGTGCTATGACAAACTGTTGCATCAATCTCTCACTGGGACAGTGTTAACAAATTGTGCTTTTTTTTTTTTTTCTTTTTCTTTTTTTTCTTCTTTTTTGGCAGCCACATGGTTATATCCTAATATAACTTGGTAGGAAAACTGTGCATGTGAGGGATGCTGTTTCTTGCATAGTTTTAATTGAACAAAACTTGATTTGTTGCCCTTGAATTAAGTACTAGGAATTACGACTGTGTGTATTAACCATGTTGCAGAAAGATGAAAATACTCCCTAAATCTTTGGGCTGATTTTTTTTTTTCCCTTTGTTTTTATCTTCTTTGTTTTTGGTTTTATCTTTCTTCTATCTCTCCTTGCTCTAAATTTTTACTTTTAATTTTTATTTTTTTCCTCCTTGAACAGAAAAGGCTTCCCTTTAAAAGCCTTTCATATGCCAAATGTTTGTGAGAACAAGTTTTGATCCACTGGCTTTCTGTTGACTCAGGGATTGCACTGTAATACTTATAATGTTTAATCATGTATTTTAAAGCAGGAGATTTAGGTCACAGGATTAGTTTGTTAGGGAGCATCAATCAAGAACATATTCATTAGAATCAAAACTGCATACAGACAGATGTTTGTGTTTGGATTGCTACTCCTGTTGCTTAAGAGCACTGCAGAAAGCTAAATTTTTTTTAAGCAGTTCCTGAGGATTTAGGTCAAGAGWGAAATGTCAGCATGTAGCAGTGAATTGCAAAAACTCTTTTCCCTCCTGTGTTTTCCCATTAGGCTAGAATAAGTGTTCACTGTCTAAGTAAGAAATTCAGTTAAAACTCCCATCTAAACTGTCTCCTTTTAATTAAGGAAAAATGCAGGGTTTTCAGGAATGCTGTTTTAGGACACASATCTCACAAACTCTTTACCTTTGCAGGAATTGATAGCCGATACAATGAAGGTTGCAGGGAACTGGCAAACTACCTGCTTTTTGGCTTGTACAACCAGAGTAACAATGACTTTGAGAGAACTGGGTTTCCCGAAGAAGTTCTGGATGGTGAGTAACAGGATGAGCATTTTCATGTATTTCTCARCTTTCTGGGGGAAGGATGAGTCAGGAAAAGGCACATAATTATCAGTGAATTAAAAAACAAAGGCAGTTAAACTCGTAATTATGAAAATATAGCTGATATACTGATTTAAAAAACAAGGGAAAAACTATGTTTTAACTTCCCCTACCAAATTCTTCCCAATATTGAGAAATATTTAGAGAAAATAGAGRAAGAGTCTGTTAGTAGCAACTTTAGTTCAGTCATATATATTTTATATATGTATACATATATGCATACATACCATTAGCAATTATTGTATGATGAAACATACGGAGTTCTACAATACTTAAGTTTGCCAAAAGTAAAACAACAACAAAAACTCATTTTTCTATTTGAAAGAGGGACTGTTATCAAGGTCAAAGATTATTCCCTTATTTGCATAAAACTTTAACTATCCTATTTTTACATGGGATGTGCTGTTAAGGTAGTTTTTAACGGGAACAAGCTCCTGGTGTCAGGCAAGGTCGGAGCCAGTCAACGTTTTTCAGTGCTCTGCATGTGCTCATCGCTGACAGTCTTGGCTTTTCAAAGCACTGGCTGATGCAAGTTCTGAGTAAGACTTCAGAATAAATCCAGGATTGTTTTCAACAGTAGAAAGTACCGTTGTACTTGGAACTAAAAATTAAAAAAAAAAAACAAGTGGGCTGTGTTAAAAGTATTTTTTTCTTCTGTTCCTCTGGTTTTTGTGGTTGTATATGTTTTCTGTGTGTGCGCATTCTTGATGCTGGAATAAAATCTGTTCTGCTTGTTGCAGATATAATCCTATTAATAAAACCTGACAGTGTTCATCTGTACTGTAACCCTGTGAATTACAATCATCTTTTGCCATATGTGGCTTACTGGAGAAACTTGCATTTTCACTGTCTAACTGAAAATGAGGTATGTGGAAGATGAATGCACATGAGAACTGCATGTCTCTAATATCTTGCTAATGAACTGATGCTTGAAGTGCAACTATTTTTTTACACTTATAAAAGTCTGTTTCCTCTCCCCATACTCCCTTGGGAGTGATGTGCTTTTATTTGGTGATATTAAACATTTTGTTAATGTGTACACAAAAAATAAAATTCAAATTATTCGAATTTAATGGAGTGTGAAGGCAAATGCTTTTCCTCCCACCAATTGCTATTGTTTTGACTTCAGTTAATGATATTTAATAAGGGGGAAAAAAAATCCACACAGATTGTGAGAAAAACAGAATCTGAATCAAGTACCATAATAAACATATTTGCAATGATAGGCTTTTTTGTTACCAAAGCAGTGTGTTAGTGTGTTATAAGCTTATAGTTTCAGAGGTTTAGAAAAAAAGGGCTTACTAAACTATTTAAAAACAATACATTTTCATGTATTTTAAAATTTCAACTCTTCCTTTCAAGGGCAGTGAACTACTACTCTGCAAGTACTGCTTGTGCTTGTCTAGTTGCAGACCAAGAACCTTTTTTTAATAACCGTTTGAGATGTTCTTCTTGAATTCCCTCAAGACAACTCTTCCTAAGTTCTGTGTAGCCGTTTTCTCAAATTAGAGTGATGCTCCAGCCCACCTGAAGGCAGTGGTTTAGAAGGGTGTGTTATGAATGGGTGAAACTGGTGAAAGAGCAGGGAGGGAGGCCTTTTGCACCTCAAGTTGGCTGTTACCCTTGTTGCAGCTTGGAAACGATGGGAATTAGGACAGATTGGTGAAGTTTCTGTGTGGCTGTCCCATAGTATGTTTATATCACCTAATTATAGAATAATTCAGGCTGGAAGGGACCTCTGGAGATAATCTTGTCCAAMCTTCTAATTAAGGCAGGGTCAGCTATGAGATCAGACCAGGTTACATGAGGCTTTATCCAGTTGGGTCTTAGAAGCCTCCAAGGATGGTCTCCACACTTTTTGATCAAGTTCCTTTGCTCGGCTGACACCATGGTGAAAAGTGTTTCCTTTTATSCAATTTGCCCCTCTCATTTTGAACCATGCTCGTTGCCTTGCCTCCTGCCACAATGCATGACTGAAGAGCCTGGTTGTGTCCTCTTGGTGACCCTTGGCAGGTACTGGAGAGCGACTCTTTATAGCCTCCCCTTTTGTAGGCTGCACAAGACCAAATCCTTTGGCCTCTTCTCCTAGGACAAGTGCTCCAGCTCAATTTTCATCTTAGCAACACACCACTGGACCGTTGTCAGTGTCCTTCTTGTACTGTGGGCCCCAAAATTGGATCTGTATGTTAGTTGTGGCCTCAGTAGAGGGAGATGCTGCCCAGGGTGCTGCAAGGACACACTGCTGGCTCCCATTCAGCTTGCTGTCCAGCAAGATTCTCCCGATGCTTTTCTATAGAGCTGCTCCCCAGCCACTTTGTCCTCAGCCTGTGTTTTTTTCATAATCTTAGTTAGCCTAAAGGATGTAGATCCTACAGCAGAACCTAAAGACTACCCTCATTAAGGCTTTTCTGTTGCTAAAAACATACTATAAAGAGCAGATCTTGCAGCATACCTTGGAGGCAGTTAAACCCACACATTTTGGAATCAAGAATGGAGCAGTTTTTAAACAGCTCTTTGCAGCACGACTGCAATAAGTAGCTTTAAGTCTGTTTAAGCTTTTGAATTTTAAATTGCATCTGCTTATGGGCTTTTGTGTGGTCTGTTGTGGTAAGCATAACTTAATCACACAGTGATTAGTGGCGCAACTAGAAAGGTAAAGCAAGTATATTGCGATGTCTGGAAACTGCAGAGTGAAGTGAATAAAAAATCTTAAGATTTCTGCTTCTGCAAATAAAATATTTACTTAATTACTACTTCATGTGAATGTCAGCTGAATGATGCACTATGTATCTCATTTCTAATGTACAGAAGTTGCGAGTTTCCTAGATTACTTATGACACAGAATCAATAAAACATTGCTGTGTCAGCCTTCCGATACACCCTGCTTAAAAAGGAGGGTTGCTTGTAGTGGTTTTTAGCAGAGGGTTTTTTATTTGTAGTGAAAGAACCAAGTTCTACTTGCTTTTATACAAATGAAAAAGAAAAAAAAAAAGCTCAGGGCTTTTGAAGTGGACCAAATAAAGCCTTATCTATTCCTATGCAGCTATTCATGAGCCTTGAAAAATACTATTGGCTGTCCTTCCTTCCTGTTTGGTTTAAACTGGGCTGTGAAGGTTTAAGTAAAAATCCTAATTAGTGACGGGCTGTTACTGAATCTGTACAAAATAGAAAATCTTGTTGTGTGCTGTGGAGTATTTCAGGCTATCATAGCTCTGTATCTCTTACAGAATGGGCTCYGTTTATATCTGTAATAGCAGATATTTAGGGAACAAGCTTCTACCATCTTTGTGAAAAAGAAGCTCTTACACTGATGATATTTTACCAACAGGCAGTTGTTTGGGATTGGTTTTGAACTGCAACTTTGATCTGGCTTGCCAGGACTGGAGAAAGAAAACGTCTTGGTAGCAGTTTGGGCTGCATCTTGAGTTCAGGCTTCTCTTAACGTAACTGGTGCCAACGTAAATTTGTTGGGTGTACCCTGGAGCTGAGATAATCTGCCTACAAATAAAGTTCATAATCATGTAACTTACCTCAGTATTATTCAGTTCAGAACAGTATGCATAAAAAAATGAAATAAATAAAAAACTCCTGTCTTCTGACCTTGCTCCAGAAAGCAAGTGACTTGAAACAGATTCTTCCTTAATGACAGTTTTTTGGGCATATAATTGATTTTTTAAAAACATTTTTGTCTAAAGACTCCCCAGAATCTAGCAGGCGACATTTAGAGATTTCACTGCAAAGTAAAGATCATGCACTAAATAAAAATAATGCAAATTTCTGATTTTATGTAACACTTCATAGGAACTCTGATTTAAAATCTTGTCTCAATTGGCTTGAATACATCCCTGCCATGACAGAATTCTCAAAATAGAGGCTAAAGAGGCTCTTTTACTTCTAGGGAGCTGTAGGTAATAACTTAGTGGCTTATAAAAACTGCCATGTGCCATTGAGTTAAAATTATACTATGAATGTGCTCTTTATGATAAAACTAASAATCAAATCAAACAAATTAGATATGCTTAATTAAATTTTGTTTTAAATTACTTTTTTTTCCCCTCAGTACGAAGATGAAGAAGCTGCTGAGGAATTCAAAATTTCCAGCTTTGTAGACATGGTTCGAGCTTGCAGTCGCATTGGAATTCCGTACAGCTGCCAAGGTGGGTTAGCTTGTTTTATGCTTGGTGATTCATGAACGAAGATTTCCTTCTCTTTGGTGAGAAATCGTGATTAATGTGCCACTGGTAGATGTGTTTTTTTTGTGTATGTGTGTCTTGTTTTTTCTTTTTTACATAAGAGCTGTTTATTTCTTTTTTTTTAAAAAGTAAGCTTCATCTGAAGAGTGAGTGGTCAAAAAATGAGGCAAAGAAATAATTTGCATTCAGAGAAGTGTGCTCTACTACATACAGAAGTTCTCTGTTCAGATGGGATAAATACTTCTTTATTTAAGGAAAGAATAAACATTTTGTTATGCAAGTTTCCTTTTTTAGCGCTGAAAAGRCTGGACTGCATGACTTCCTGTTATGATCTGTCGCCAGCCTTGCAGTCTGAACAATGTAATCTTATATTGTTTAGTAAAGTGTACTTAGTGGTATCCAAGCAGTGAATAATGCAGAGGCAGCGCACGCAGCCTTTGCTGTCTGCCGTGCTGGGGTTTTGAGCCATAGTCAGTGAAATACAAATTCAAAAAGAAAAACGTCCTTTTTTTTTGGTTTAGCTTTTTTGAACTATGCAAGTTCAAACCAAGCTAATTTAATTAGTTTTTCTTAATGTCTCTGCGTGTAGTCTCATATGAGTAGTGGTGTGTCGTAATTGCTTGGAAAACCATTAATTTGCGTGAAGGAATWTTTTTTTTCTAGACTGACAATGGAAAAAAAGGACAAAGTTTGGGATGGAGAAAGAAAGAATTCCTCAAGTATCACTTTTACCAAATCTGTTGTTCAGTTAAAAATTTTAAATTGTACAAACAAGGAGGAKAAGTGAGGTCCTTTATAAGAATCTCATAGCAACAGTAATATCTTATAGAAAGTTAACAAATTGTGTTTGACGTGTGTGGAATCTGTCTTTTGCAGGTCATCTACAGATATTTGATATGTTCATTGTTGAAAAGTGGCCAATAGTGCAGGCTTTTGCACTGGAAGGAATTGGGGGTGATGGCTTCTTTACAATGAAATATGAAGTAAGTAGTTAATATTTTCCTTTTTTTCTCCATTTCCTTTCATAAGCAGAAATAGTCATGGAATAATTTAAATTAAAAGATATCTTTTGATATCATCTAGCAYGTCCTTCAGGTAGTGGCTTGGAACAACTTCTAAGCTGCATCCAGTTGCTCAGGACCTTGTCAAGCTGGGCTTTGAATGTCCAAGGTTAGAGATATGCTGGTCCACACATGGTCCACATGCTTTCTGAGGGACTGCAATGAGCTGTCCAATATTCTGTCCTGGATGGATTGTTCTTCTTTCTGCCTTGAGTTAGGCCTTTTCTCCTTATCTTCTAGACTTAGAACCTCCTTCCACAGTAGCAGTTAAACTTCAGGTCTTCTGGATGGTRATAGAAATTCGAGTCGTGTAATAGAAGCTGTTTAGCCACAGATGCTTTAAAAATAAAATAACAAGTGACTGTCTTGGAGGTCATGGGTTCTGGCACAATAAATACATGTTTTTTTTTCTTGTGCRTTATATATTTTTGGGCCATTGTGGCCTACCAAATAGGATAGCAGTCAAGGTTGTTGATGCTTCTAGACATCCTGGACAAGGATTTGCTATTCCATCATTTCGCATCATTTGAATTTCTTATTTATTAACTATACTGTAACAGAATCTTTGGAGGAAAGCTTCATATTTAAGTATCCGAGGCTTCATTTTCTGGGACCTCTGCCACAGAAATGCAGATGTCCTGTTCTTTTTGTCACTCCTCCATTTTTACAGCTGGACTGTTCTTTTCTGATTGCCAGAATTCAGACGAAGACAAGAAATTAATAATATTGCTATTGTTTAATGAGTTTTATCACATATAATATGCTCCAAATATCTCTGTGAGATAGTGTTTCTGCCTGTTCCTGAGCTCTTTGAACTGAAGTCTTTCTCTGTGCTTTATTCCTTTATTTCATAACTAGTGCTGTAGTAGTTTTGTGTGAACATGTCAAAATCATTCGATACAAAGCCTAAACAGGTAATTATGTTTATGGAGTTCTGACATAGGTGTAGGTAGCTCTTCCTGATAGCCTGAAATTATTTGATGAAAATTTGTGTGAATTCAGTGGGAATTGTTTGAGTTTTAAGTACAACTCTAGCACAGTTGGCTTCAGGATTTTACGAAAGCTCTTGAAAATGTTGTGTTTACTATGTGTGTGATACCTTAATAAAGGCAGAAGGGCCTCCTGTTTCATTGTGAGGAGCAGYAACTCCCTGATGGCTCTCTTGGAGATGTAAAAAGGAACAATATAAGTTTTCAAATCTGTTTTTAAGAGTGTGCATGTTAACTCGCACTTTTCAGCCAAGTTCCAGCTTGGGTTCTTGCTTTCTTCCCCCTTAAAATCGTAAGGGGCTTTCAAGTGGGAAGTGACATTCTTAACATTTTACGTAACTGTTTATGCATGACTATCTGCTAAGCAGCTGCTGTATATCATAGTTAGGGAGGAAAAATGTTCTTTYGTGTGTGTGTGTGTGCRYATATATATATACRTATACACACTTGGGATTACTGTAAAGAATCTAAAAAATGCTGTTGCAAATATTAAAAGGGGTTAGTCTTAATACTTCTTTAGCTCTTTAGTCTTATCTCTGCTCTGCATTTTCTGTTGCTAGTGTTCAAAAAAATCTGCTGGTAAATTACAAATTTTATTTTGGTGCTTCCTCTTTTCTACAAAAATGTCGCAGCTAAAGATCAGTTGTATGGAAGCCACAACTGGTTGAGGTGGWGTAATGCAGAGATTTATTGTATCAGGAGTCAGATAGAAGCCATGTCTTGGAAATCTTTATTGCCACATCTTGTCGTATGAGTAATTGGAATGACTGTGTAAAGCTGTGGCTTAAGGAAAATCCAGTTCCAGTCGCTGCTGCAGTTTGAATTAATTGCTCTTTGCTACCTTGTCAGTGCAGAAATTACTCAGATTTGAGTGTCCCTTAAGAACACATTTCTGAATARTCTTCATAGGCATCTTGGAAAAAAAATAAAGCTACTTGCTAAGTATTGCTTAAATTTGCATTTCACTTGCTATAAGGATTGACCGTCAGCAATATATGCAGGAATTACTGTAAGCACGTAGGAGTTGTAACCTTGCAATCCCTTTCTTGGCTATCTTTCCTCAGGAAACTTCATCTTCCCCTTTCCTGCCCCAGCTAATGTCTTCCTTGACTTTTATTAATTATATCAATTTTGGGAAGCTTTTTKGGGAAAATAATTTGTTTGAAAGACGCAAACAAATCTTTACATTGTGCTTTAAACTGTCACTTGAGCACATGAGTCTTTCCRGTACCCCATACCATTTCCATCAGATTTGGTCAATTCTTCTGCAATTGCTACTGTAAAAATATTTCCAACTCAGGAGGACTCTTGGGTTGGCTGCTCGTCTGTGTCAGTGCAATGCCTGTATCTCTAGCATTCCTTTTGGCATTTTTCACAGAAATACCTTTAAAATATTTTTCAGTTAATGGACGTCAGCGTTGATCTGTGGAAAACATACAGTAAAATGGATCCTGTTTCCCTGGAGGACTTGGTTTTTGAGGTAACGTGGGTGAAATCTGCTGATCCAGCTACTGGTTCACATGGCTGCAGAGCCAAAGTGTTGATTTTTTAGGAGTGTTTGCAGACTTCGTTTACTCTCTCTGTACACGCTGCAAGAAGAGCTTGCCTTGCATTCTGTGCATTCTTACAATTCCTTAAAATACCTAAAATTCTCATAAAACATAGTGTGATTATCCTTTAGGCCATAGGACTGTATTCAGAGTATAAAACACTGGAAATATATATGTTTCAGTCCCTTATTGTGGTATAGGGAAAAAATAATCCAGTTTAATATACAACCACGAGGCCAGGAGAAAATCACTTCCACAAACAAGTGGGTAACAGTGACACACAGTGGCAGCACTGATGCTTTGAGAACCAAAACATGCACTGCTAAATATCCCCTTGCTGTGGTGAGGGGTCTGATCTTGATGCTGGAAACAAAAGCAACACATATATATTAATATCTATTATTTGTCTGTATACCTCTTATTTGTCAAAATTTAGTTTTGAGGACTCTTAATTTCTAATTCTTTGTATTTCTTCAGTTATTTGAAACAAGAAGTTATTTCACCCTGAGATGGTTTCAGACTAATTTGTGCAGTGGTCACTGTCCCTTGACAAAGTGTGGCTCAGGTATTCAGGAGTAATGGTTGTAGCTTTTCCTTCAATTTTCTAGCTTAGCAGCCAAATACATTTCTTAAATATAGCAAGGTCATCGGTAAATATCCCTTGTTAATAAAATATTGGTAACTATCCAGCCTGTTGGGGATAAATATCTTATTTAACACAGATCATTTAAAAAAAAAAACACATTGGATTGGTGTCCAAGCTTTATAAGGCTGCCAGTCTAAATAGTGGCACTACAAGACACTTATTTTATCTGCTTCCTATGATAATTTGGGAAATTATATGTAAAGAATTCATTTATTTGTACTCCAAACTGTTCGGGATTTTTTTTTTTTGCACCTGACAAATCTACTCTGTAGCTGACTTATTTCTTCTGTTTTAAAATTTTTTTTAAGGGTGAAGCTTCAGCTTTTCTGAAAAAGGTTAAAAATAATGGATAGGGTTTTCATACAACTTATTTCACAGGTATTGGTCATTTTAAAAATGACTCATTTTTCTCAGTACAGATTTGTTTGGATGTCCTTTAAGCACATTTGGAGCTCACATAGATGTTCACAAGTTTTCTTTTTTGGTTAACGCAGCTTTGCTGTCAGGAAATTCTGATTTTAAGTCTATTTGGGATTTAAGAGAATTAATGTTTTCTATACCATGGGCATGTTCCAGATAAGCTGACAAAAATGTTTTTAGCTCTTACTTTCTTTGTAAAACATCTGAGGCTGCAATGTTCTGCAATTGCAGTGCAACCCTAAATATAATKGTTATTTTTAAACCACTAATATAGGCCCTATTATTACTTTAGAAGCCTTGCAAGATTTCAACAGAGTTCACTGCCTGAACTTCATTCATTACTATATTAATGAAGTTGTTGAAAATAAATACTGTATAATATTCATGCAACTGCTAGAATTGTAATTCTGGTTTGCTTGTTGTATAATTGTGTAAATATATATAATTGTGTAAATGTCACACAGGATTTCACTCTCTTTACAAATGAATATGTGACAGGCAGTGAAGATAATCTTGCAAACATAAAACCTTAAAATAAAACCATAAAATAAAATTAAAGAAAAAGACCAAAAAGACTCCCTGAAAATCTTCCTCAGCCGCTTTCAAAACCCAGAAGACCCCGTCTTGTAGGTGATGTTTACCCTTGTTCACGTCTTTACACCTTTGGTGGTCATGATGTGTTTTATACTGTGTAGTGAAGCTACTAAACAAAGTAGTAACCTGTGTGGTCTGATATAACTGGAGTTCATTCAGTAACATGCCTGGGATTTCCTCTCTGCTGTAATGCATGCTGTAATGAATACTCTCTGAATGTTTTTCTTCCAGGACTTAATGACTTTCGAACACCAGTGGACCAACTTTTTTGCTAATTTTGATACTGAAATTCCTTTCATTCTGGAGCTATCAGAATCTCAGGCAGGGGAGGTATGTTTACTCCAGAGAAGCTTTCAAATGACATTGTCTTACTAGCAGAAGTAGTAATAAATACTCAACTTAAGTAATACTAGGATATTAGTCTCATTTGTAATATAGTAAGATACTAATAATAGTATTTAACATTTTGTCCCCCCCTATGCCATCTCTCCTTTCAGGTTTGAGGAATAGAATTCTATTTTTAAGGGTTTTTTAAGTTGACAGCTCACCTTACTGCATGCTGTGACAACACTGGACTGCCTGGTGTAACTCAAGGTTGAGTGTTTGTTCACTGATAATGAAACTCAGTTGTTCCACGTGTGCAGAACAGATCCCTGTTTGTAGATGGATCTAAATGGCATTTTGTTGGTAGCTTCTGCATGTGCTTTTCTTGACAAGCTAAGGTCGCACATGACAARTTTCAAACATTATCAGTGATGACATATAGAGTAGGATAAAAATAGTACAACGCATCTGCTTATAGTTTTTTAGGGGAGTAGCTGCTGTCTGTTTTCAAGCACGTGTGTAACTAACGGTGTTTGTTTCTGGAGGTTGGGAATAGTTAGGAGGGCTGAGAATGTTTCAGGCTTGTTCTTAATAATAGTAATATCTTGCACTGTCCTTTCATGTATTTGTTAATCAGAATGTGTTGTTTTTCTTCACAGCCTTTCAGAAGTTATTTCAGTCATGGGATGATTTCCAGCCATATAACAGATAACAGGTATTACTCATCGCTTTGTTGTGAGATTATGATCTCACTTGCATCTTGATATGTTATTTCCATATCTCTGGTGTCATAAGAATGCTTATGATTCCTTTTGGAATTATTTCAAAATATCAGATCCCATCTTGGTGCATTTGAAATACCACACAGGATCACTGGTCCAAATATTCACRGGCTTCGATTCTGCAGTTTCATTACATATATAGTGTCAATATGCTTAAAATGTCGAATTAGTTCATTCTAGTATGAATTCTATCAAATTCTTCATGCTCACATGTCTAAATAAACTCATGGACATACTAAATAGGATAGCCCTGTTTGAAAACTTGGTTATATGTTTTCATGTTACTCAAAAACAGTTATAGTATGAAATTTGCAGTCAGTGTACATTGGTATGTCACAGTACCAACAATATCAGTGCTTAAAAGCAGACCAGGTAGAAAGTARGTTTTAAGTTGCTGAATACGAATCAGAGTTACTTTCTTTCAGCTCAGAATGGTAAGTGATAGGGGCAGACTGGTCGTCATATGTTACAAAAGGAAGCTTATAATGTTTTGTGCTATATAAAGGTTGCTTAGCTACTTAAATGTCCCTGTAGTTTATTCTTTATTTGGAAATACAGCGGGATTCTGTGTCCTTTATTGTTTTCAGCATCCTATCTTTCTTGCAGTTAGTTAAAAGAAGAGCCTTGACCAAGTTGAGTCTTGGGCACAAAGCCAGAATAAAAACCACAATATTTTTCCTTAATTCCAGCTACTTACTTCAAGGTTTTCCTTGAAATTTTGAGATACTCAACTCCTTAAGAAACTTCAAAAAATAGAAAAATAGGTTTTTTTTTGTTTTCACCTAATATTGTGGTAGTGATAGAGTCTTTTCTCTTAGCCCTAGCAGGCAGCCATTTGTTCTGTTTGGGAGCCACTCAACTAAGGACAACTTGAACTCCGGTAACTTTAATTTTCCCTCAGAAGGACATCTGGTTCGAAACACCGGCCTTGGYGGTAGCACCGCTAAGCATATGGTGAGATTTTAAAATATTTTTCTGCATTTTGTGAGCAGTTTATTGTTATTTTCTTCAGATATTTTGGGAGGCTTGGGGGTGAAGGCAACCACTTTTCATGAGTTAAATACCCTACGCTGAACATAAAAGGCATGTTATATTAATTCCAAAACAGTTTAAGGAAGACTTTTCCTTGTCTCTCTCGATCTCTGTCTCTCGATCTCTGTCTCTCTTGATCTCTTTCTCGATCTCTGCTGCTCTAAATGTGTGGGATGGGGGAGAGGGAAGTGTTTCTGATGACATTTAACCTAGCGCTAGCATGAAAATCTTCCTGGTAGCGTATGATCTATAAGCAATGGCACAAAGAATTTAGTTGAACAAGAGTTTTCTTAAAAATAAAAGTCACTTTTATTTTTGGGCTTTTTTTTTTTTTTTTTTTTTTAAACAATGGCTTTGTATATGTACAAAGCATTTTGAATTCTGGGCATACCTTTGTGTTTGAGCAAGCAAACAGTTTCATGAAACTCTGAAAATTCTTCTAGTGCTCCAAAGACTGTTAAGATATACGTTGTAAGATTAACTTGTCTCCGTTTTCAAGTAAAAGTTTAGTTTTAAAACATATGATGAGCTCGCTGGCTTGTGCACTGCGGCGCAGGGGACGTAACTGGGGAAGCGACCCCAGGGAATTGAGCTCCTCTGGCTGCCTGGGCTGGGTGCATCAAGAAGGTAACGCAGCGGAGCAGGAGAGCTTGGGTGCAGGTGCCCGTGGGCAGCTCCCTGCAGAGCCCGGGGCCGCGGGAGCGAGTGACAGGGGTGCGAGTCCAGGCTGCGGAGTAGCTGGATGTGGCTTGTTGAGTTCAGCTCGGCGTGGAGTGAGCGGATGGCTGAGGGAGTGATTCTTGGTGGGCTTGTCGTGGCATTTCATACCCAGCTGCCTGAAGGATGGACGTGGTGCATGGCTCAGAGGCGCAAGAAAGCATCATATTGGCRTGCCAGTGAAATCTCATCCTGCATTTCCTGCTCAAACACTGTTTCTGTGCAGACTTTTCCACTCCCCCCCCCCTTAAAAAACATTCAGATTAAGCCCATTTGATACCTTCCATATTTCAATGATTTTTTTTTCTGATACCATATCTGCGCAGTTTCCCCCAGATCCTGTGCTTGTTCTTAAAAAGGTAGTTTATTTTACTTACATTATTTTAAGAGTGTCTTGAAAACAGCATATAAGATGAAGTGTGACCATAGTTGTGGAAACCTGACACTCGTTCCTCTTCTTGAGAAGAGCAGTTGATGTAGGCAACTGAAAACGTATTCCTAACATTTATGCACTTCAGAGCTCATCATCTTTCCAAAGATTTTCAACTAATCAGGTGAAGTCAAAAGTGAAATATACCTTTGAAAACGTAAGTCCCTTTTTAAAAATCCAGTTGGTCCTGTGTTGTGCATACGTAGTACATCAGTTTTTAGAAAACATAGGGGCAAATTTAGTTTATTGTTAATAATTGCATGGTTTTTTTTACTAAGATTTTTTTGTTTCTCATTAATACTGACAACTAGGTTGTGCAGTGCGTATCTCCAAAGGGACCTCTGGCTTGTGCAAGGACCTATTTCTTTGGAACCACTCACATTCCTTTGCTGGGTAAGTGTATTAAGAATATCAAGCAGTATTATAAAGCGTTTCTTAATTAAGATTGTACTGATTAAGAAGTTKTTTCTGATCCCTTTATGGGTATTATGGCATTCAGTGTTGTTCAGTGATAGATACTGTATAATAATAAATAATATTTTCAAGTACATAAAATCTTAGCAATTCTGTGGCACATCCTACATCTTGTGTGAAAATCTGTCAGATGCTGTCAAAAAAAATGAATCAAAAGTAACCTTTTTTTTCTTTTTTTTCACCTCTTCCAATATTTTAATAAAAAAGAGAATACTAAAAAAGAGAAAACAGTGAAAAGATTTGCCCAAGCGAATGAGGTGCTTCCATCTTTGGATGGAAGGAGTATTCAGGAGTGCATTGGACAAGCCCGTGAGCAACCTGATCTAACTAGGCTTGCTTTGAGCTGGGATTGAACTAGATGACCTTCAGAGCTCCCTTCCAAGCTAAATTATTCCATCGTTTTATGATAATATTGATTTATTTTTCCTGTGAAGATCTTAGAACTAGCTTGATAGTGTCACACTGAGTGTGCAGTTGGACCAGGTGGCCTTCAGAGGTCTCCCTAAACCCAAAGTAGAGGAAGTTTCAAGAAAAAGAGGTGCTTGTGTCTCTGAATGCAATGTGAAGGTGAAGAGCACCTAAGGGTACTGGACTTTTACAAATACCATGTGAGTTGGTGTTCATAGAGGTTCATGAAAGAACACCCCTGAAACCTAGTAGTTGAAAGTCGTAATTGTCCAAAAAAAAACCCGAAACCAAACAAAAACACACACACACACACACACACACACACACAAAAGGACTTTTTTAATAGGATTTTTACAATGAGTGGATAAAACTTATGATTTTTATCCTTTATCGTCTTTCTCATACTGAAAACCGAGTATGGTAATGGCACTCCTTGATAAAAACAAGCCATGTGAAAATTTTAAAAGCAACTTTTTAAATTGTTTTAAATGACCCCATCAGTCTTTGAAATCAGTCCCCTTAGGTTACTACATATCTTGAAACTGAAATCCACAGGCAAGCTGAAGTTAATATAAACAACATCTTTGGCAAGGAGCACAGGGATGTGCAGTAGAAACTTTACGCCTAAATAGCTCTGTTGAGAAGTGCCTGAAGCCAATAGATTTTCATTTTTGTTTGTTTTTCTTTCTACAGGAAATGACAATGAGGTGCACAAGAAGGCTGAGCACGTGTAAGCTGCCCATTTTTTCCTTAACCCTTCCCTCTTTCAACTTTGAAGCAATGGGTTCAAAAGCCCTTTTAGAAAGAAGGAGCCAAGGCATTTGCAGAGCAATATTTTTCTTTAGAATGGTGTGAATGGGAGAGGGTTTCAGAGGATGCTAATGAGCAAACTAGGAATTGTTACTTAAAGCACAATACCTTCAGGTGACATTTGAAAGGAAATGTTGGTAAACTTTGCTCAAAAATTGCTCAAAAATTGAAAAATTTTTCTTTATTTTTTAATCTTTACCCTCACTTTAATCATTTTTAAATGTWTCATGCCCCTAAACTGAGGCTGAATGGGAGCGTGTTCTGTGAGTAGAAGTAAAAGTAATTTCTATGCTAGCTTCATGAAGTTAAACGATGTGTGAGAATTAYCATTTTTAGTGAAAATATCAGCAGGGAGCACTCCGCCTAGCGCAGAAAGCTTGTGGCTTTAAAGATGAGATAAAAACAGATTCTGAAAGTCTTTGCTAGTAATCTGGGCAGCTTYTGCACATTTTGACCTTCGCAAAATAACCATTTGGTTGCCCATATTGCTGTTCGTTTTTATGCATGTCCTAGACACCTGTCCACATTTAACAATGGGGTAGGTCATCTGCTTTGGTGCTGCTCTCAGCCGCAGTCAGTGAGGCTACTAGGAAAATTTATTCGGAATTTATTAAATGCATTATTTAGAAATTTATTCATTGGGAAATTAAGAATTAATTAGGAAATTAGGAATTTATTAAATTATTAAAATGTATTAAATCTGTTAGGAAAATTTCAGGAGCCTGTGGTTGCTCTGCTGAGAAGCTGCCTGCAAAACCTGCATGACAGGTTGGAGAAATGTTGAGATCAGTGAGAGGAACCTGTAGTGGTGACCTTTTACACTAAGTACTGTGGACTTTTGATGGCTGTTGTACTGTTCATCAAGGCATAAATATGTATTTACCAGACTGAGCAKCAGAATTTTCATTTTATATAACAAAGCATAGGCAGAGGGTAATCTTTTTTACTTTTTTATTGTGCAAAAACACTTTTTATGCACTGTTTAACCCCCTTTTATTTATTTATTTAATATTTGCCAGTATTTCTCAGTTAAAGTAAAAAGTGGCAAGATACTTGATAAGCCCTAATTTTGTTCTATTTAGGAAGCAGAACTACAGCCTAGAATGGGTGACTTTGAGGATCCTTGGGTTAAACTTTTAACTTTCTTTTTATTTAACAAATACCATTTTGATTTGTTACAATCCCGAAAGAAGAGTAAGAARGCTCTAAGATTAACACAAAGCACATCACAATGCTATTCCTCTAGTAAATATAGATACAGAAGGGATTTTGAGTGAGTATAGAAACATTTTTGGAATTAGGGTGAATTAGCCCTTTTTAATGTATATACTGAAATCGTAAGTGAAATTTGCTTGTTCAGAAAATCCTACAGATCAAACCCAAAACCCAGGGAACTGTAGGAAGGGTTAAGGATTTTTAAAAGCTATTGCTGTTATCAGRGATGTAATTAGAAGAGATGGTCTGTTTGTTTGAATTGTTTGTGGTGGTGTCTATCCAGAAAGACACTGGAGACTGCTCCAGGTTGGGCCGTGTTTGGAGCTTCAGAAGCCTTTTTTTTCCACCCTTCAGAAATGCTTTGCATATGGCTTAAATGCTGTATCCTTTCCCCTCCTTTCCTCTTTCTTTCCCTCAAAATCTGGGAGTTGCAAGTAAGTAGAAAGCAAGTAAGAAGAGTTAAAATTTAGGCAAGTAGGAATATTCCTATTTATCTTCCCCTTCCAGTGTAGCTGGAAGACAGAATCTATGTTGGTCTGAGGTGCCAACTTTGGAGCTCAAAATATGCAACTCCCTTCTAGCTTTACCTGATCTTTATTTCACTACTCCTGATTCTCTTTTAAAAACAGAATTGGATTAAGCTGTGATGTAGACGTGCTCAAAAAGTTGCAGTGATCAGTTTATGTTGTTATTACTTTGTGCTTGAGATGCTTCAGAACAGGCCATTCTCCAAAGCTGGCKCGATCTATTTTCTGGCCTGGCCTTTGCAGAGTGTACGGCTCCCACTCTTGTGATTCAGTATTTAGGTGTGATCTGTGAGACAGCTCCRGGGAAATTCAACAGTAAAACATTTATCTTGATTGCGTTGAAAACAGGGTTACACTGTGCTATGGTTTTTTTAAGGTATTGCTAATTTGAGCAGTTGACTTGGTCTAATTATCATATTTTAAATTTAATCTGGGATGATAGGGGTGCTAAGCAATTAATATGCCCTTTCTGAACAAGGACCCCTTCTGCATAAGGGAGTTCTGTGCTGTGAGAGATTAAACTGCTCCTTTTAAAAGAGGAGGAAGCCAAACTCTGTCTGTCTAGTAAATGTTGTGTTTGTATTTCTCTTCAGTATGCTGTTGTCGCAAATATATACTGCTGTTGTAGAGGCTGTGCTTGCTGGCATTGAGTGCTATGCTAAAACTTCCACTGAATCCAAGGTAAATGAAGTGCTGATTCTCTCCGCTGTCATTGTTCACTCAGACTGCTTGGCAAGACCAGATTACAGGCAAACCCAAATAAAAAGTAAAACATTTGGGATAATGGTATAAGATTAGTGAAATGAATACCATGGCCTCCAACCAATCTCTCTGAAATCTGCTAAAGGAGTGAAATTTCAGAGTGTATCTAGTCTTACCTCTTTATGGTTGTTTCTCTCCTCAATTTTCCGAACCTTGTAGTAAGGAAAATTAGAGAGAAGCCCAAGAACAAACTTTAGCCTGGTGCACAGTGTGTTACTGGTTGGTGTATGGTGTCTRCTTATCTCATGGGTGCTCTGTGAGTTGCTGGGAATCCTAAGGATGKGAAAAGATGTTCTAGTCTCAATTTTCATTTTTCAGGCAAAGGAGGTAGCAGAGCAGATGCTTATGTCTGCGTTAGATACCCTTCATTTAACACAACTCAAACCTGCATTRCGGTAGGTACTTTCAGATACCTATTTGTTGATGTATAGCATCAATGTACTAACTTTTTGGGGGGAGAAAATACCCAATATCTTTATTATTAAATGTAACTTAYTTGACAGTTGAATTCCAATACCCTTCTTATTGCATTGCATTGTGAAGTCAGGATAATTATTTCATTTTTCTTTACCTGTTTTTAAACACTAAAGTTGTTGCTTTACTGTAAACCTACTACTGCATGCTTTTGTGTGTAAAGAGAGATAAAAGAGTTCTTTCACTGATATGATTTCTGTTCCACAGCTCCAAAATCTCTTTTCAAATTCAGGCTGTGAACAATCATGGAAGGTTTGTATCCCTATCTTGCATTATTTTTCCCATCTCTAGCTTATAAAAAGTACTAATTAATTGATAAGAGTTTATATTTTGCGATCTCAGAGTTTCTGGAAAAACATTGCATGTGATTGTTTTGTATAAAAACAAGCACTACATGCTTTTGTGTACGAGCCAATTTAATGGATTTGGATCTTCATGATTTTGTGGAATTTTAGTAAYGTTTAAACATAATAATAGCACATCTGCACAGAGCATTGTTATTACCTCTGATAATGAGTAGAAGCAGCATGAGCCCATTAAGATCTTCCATTTAAAAAGCTGTGCTTTTAACTTAGTAGACATCAAACTTGCGCTTTTTTTAATCTACATGCTGTCTAATTGACTGAAATGGCCTACACAGATAAAAGCTATTTTAAAATGAAATAGTTTTTTTGATTGTTAGGAAATCACTCAGAATTATCTAGTCTTTAAATATTTAATTATCATTATTTTTCTAGAATTACTCCATTAGATAACGAGGATAGCCTGAATTTGGTTAAAACGGTAAGTAAGCTGTTCAGTGCTCTCCTTACACATTTTATATGAAAACAGAGCTTGCATACCTTCTTTGATGGGGTGTGCTGAACACTGTACATATATGAATACAAATATGAGGGGATGGATGAGTTGAAGTTCTGGGAGGAGAAAATGAAACTGAGAAAAATCTGAGCTTGACAAATGAAGTTGGATAGCAGAATTTGGAAGAAAACTTTAAGATACAATTTCTGTCTCAGAATTTGTATTAAAACAACATTGAAGCGCTGTGTTTTARGAAGTTTGAAACGTGTTATCTTGACTCTCAACTTCAAGTTCTGCTTTCTGTTCCTTTCCCAGGCGTCCATGACAGTGTTTGACATTCCAGACTTGCTCACAGGAAGAGGATGCTTGGGATCCGTAGTCTTCTCCGAATCTTTTCTAACCTCAAGGATACATGTAAAAGAAAAAGGTAACTCTTTTGAACCAGGAAGAGACAATAAATAACTTGAAAAGTTAAATGGGATGAGGAAAAAGCACGTACCAAGACCAGAAAGAAAATGGATTCCTTTWAATATTCTTATTAATTGAGGATATGTTGCCATATGAGGAAGACTGGGAGTTGCTCTTCCAGGAGAGCTTCACTTATACATAATGAATCCCTAAAGTGATCAGAAAATTTTGTATTTCGTAGAACAACARAACAAACTCATCTAACTTGTTAAAGAGTGTAAAGTGTATGGATYGTATTATAATTCTTTGTTTTTCCTTTATTTTCCTGCAGATGGCAGTATTAGTTCAGAAACCAGCCACATAATCTTGACTGCAGTTATTCCAAGATACGCATCTTGGCTGGTTAGTACACAAAAAAACCTGTTCAAAGCATTTTTCTTTATATGCAAATTGACAAAAGAAAACTTTTTATCAATATATAGYCCCTGATGTATTTGAATAGCTGTGAACATACAGATGTGTGAGAATAATCAAAAACTTGGGCAGTGAAATAGAATTGGAAATAGTATGATTTTTAATTGTGAACACTGAGKGTGTACCTTACAAGTGGAAACAGGCTGATGGACTCATTCGTCAAGCAAGCTTTAAATTGTTCCATTTTCATCACTTCAGTTTTTGCAGTGCTACAGGCATGAATTTTCAAGTGCTCCATATCTCATTTGAAAATCCTGCTTATTGTGGGTTTCCTTTCAGATCCTTAATATCCTGCACTGCATTAAAGGTGTAGTTCCAATAAATGTTATTAAGCTGTGCAGCTTTTTGTTAGTTGGTAGCCCATAAATGTTTTACCAAACCAAAATGCTTTAATAATAATAATAATAATAATAATAACAACAACAATAACAACAACAACAACAACAACAACAACAACAAAAAGGCAAGCACTTTATGCCTTTGCAATACCATTTTAGCTTATAAAAACCATTTATTGAGGAGCAGCTCCTTGAATATACGTTAAGGAACTGTCCTGCTTCTATAGTTTCACAGTATTGAGAAGTACAAAACTGTCTTTGAAACAGAGGGTAATCTCCARAACTTTAACCATCAGTGGTACCTGAAGTTGTCTGTTGTCTCGTATTTTCATTAATGCTTTTTGAAGTAATTCAACCTTAGTCTTGTTTTTTTCTACTAATTATCTAATGGAAACTCYTCCTTGCTACAGGTAGAAGATAGTGATGTGAAACTATCTGAAAAGGCACAACATATACTGAAGGTAATATAAAAAAAATCAGTTACAGAGATAATATTTTTAAGAAACAATACTCCCAGAAATGTTAATTATTAGTAAGACGGCTTGTATCTTGTTTATTCTTTTTCTTACTTGTTAGAAAAATCTGCCTATTCTATTCTGTGTTTTTTTCAAACTGCGTCCTACAAAAAAAAAAAAAACATTGTTTATAAAAATTTGGAATTTTCTCTATTTCCACGAATGAGAAAACTCATCAGCAAAAAGAGTTTAGAATAAAGCTAAGATTCTATAGAAGTCTCACTGAACACTACCCATGAAGCTCATGTGTTTTTTCTGTGGGGTTTTTTTTTTGTTTTCCTTCTTAAAAGACCACTGCCATTCTACATTCAACTTTCTTTTAACCTAATTAGCATGCTGAATGTCTGAAGGAAAACACTTAAAGCACTATGAGAAATAAAAGAATCTTGGATCTGGGAACATCTTAATCCACATGAGTTTCACATTTGTGGTTGAATTTGTGGTTACCAGAAATCTTCATTACAAATAGATTTATTTTCCTGTAATATACTTTTAGTTCAGTAGATTGACATTCTGAAAACAAAAAGCTATGCCTTGTAGTTGTGACAATAACTGGTAACTTAATAGCTGCTGGCAAGACCAAATAGGGGGGAAGTGCTTTTAAAAATTGCACTCCTGACGTGCTGTTTCTTTCACTGCTTCTCTATCAATGCTATTTAAAACTCTTTAAAAGTTCTGACAGATGCTGTTTAATTTGCCTTTTTTTTTCTCTCTTTAAAGCATTAAAAACATTCTGGCCTGGACTGCATGATGCACACCATGATATTATTGTTTGTTTTCTTGTTTAGGAGGATAAATCCTTTTTGGGCACTTTACTTGCTGGAGGCGACGGAGCACACGTTTGTTCTAGCAACCCGCAGGCCATGCCTGCAGAAGGTGAGCTGTTTCCCTCAGTTGCTTGAAGAGCAACTCCTCCTCTTTTAAACATTGGTTCTGCCTTTTTAAACTCTTTTCTTTTTATCTGTTGAAATTCCCTACCCTCATTTATTTAATTTTATTCCCTCTAGGAGAGGGATTCTGATCAGTGTCATAGGCTTAATTTTGAGACCCAGTGTGGTCCAGTGCCTGCGATGTAGGAGGATACTGGAGTGATTTGGTGCTAAATTTATTTACAGCCTTGTGTTCTCTGCTTCCACTGAGGTCTTCTTCCTGGAGCTAACACTGTTCTGGGTTTATTTCTCTTGGGAATATCAGTGTTTATTAGCACAGATGCTCGTAATACCAAAGGAAAACGCTTGTTCTTGGTCCTTTTGAGATTCAGTGAAGTTAACCTCAAGCTACCTATTGACACAAGATTACTGATAATGGTCTCAGACAATTGCTGCTATTTTAGTGCCTTTTCTTTCAGAAATAAAGTGATGTGAATGCCCCAATTATATGACTAAGAAAATTCAAGATGACCTATGGGGTAYGGTGGCAGAACGAATTCTCTCATTTCACAGCATTGCACTGATGCATCTTCCTTTTGAGACAATTAATGGAAGAATAAATAGGAATTTCTGAATCAAAACAAATGCTTTAAGGTCTAATACCTTCATTCCTTCTGTCAAGTCGGGGTACTGTTGTCACAATAGCATGTGACATCTAGGTATAAATGACAGTTTGGAGGAGAAAATCATTAGCCTTGTTATTCTTGTGGTTATACRGAAGTAGTGCTAAGGGTAAGTGATGATACACAGGACAGCACCTTCACATAGAAGAGCTTACTTTTGGCCGTAACTTAATAGATTTTTAAGGTAGGAAGGACACTGCAGAATAATGCATTGAGCTGTGTTGCAGTATAATTCTGTGAGTACAGATTCATTCAGCAAATAATTAGGAAGGAGAATAATGATGTTTTTTGGTGCTATAAAAACAGTCTTTCCCCATGGAGTAAAACTTTCCCCTTTTTTCCTGAGATTTGAGTCAGATGTTCATGGCACTTGGGATGGTGAGTTAGAAGTAGGTAGAGTAGCACAGGACTATTATTTAACACTTCGACAAAGAGATGTTTTTTCTTGGGGGTCAAGTGAAAACGAACTTGATCTCATTGCCTTTCCCATGTGCTGGATGGTAGTTGGCTGTCTTGTGAACTTGGCGTCCTGCATGATTCGTGCCCTGGTGAACTTCACAGAACTTGCAGCTGTGAAGCCCAGCAATGGTGAAGGGAGAGGTGCTGCCATATGCTYGTTCAGCTCCTTTCCCTGTCATTTATTTCATACTGTATTGGAGTGGTTAAATTCCTGTCTAAAGCAGAGCAGAAAAAAATTCAGCCTAGTAAATGTTTTCCTTATTATGCTAATGCATGTGCTGCTTTCCAGCATTTCGTAGGATGTGCGTAAGTGAAGCAGGCACTCTTACCAATTAAATGCTCCCCTCCAACATTATTAACTTGTGAGTAACTACAAAAGTACTATATACAATTAGCCCATTATATCAAAAATAACCTTAATATGAAGGAGACCATTTTGCATGTTTGTTATTCTTTTCAGCTCCTGTTTTTCAAAAGAATCAAGTACTGTTTTTTGGGTTTTTTTTTTGTTTTGTTTTTCCCTCCTTCTTCCCACCCCCACATTTTGTCTGTAAACTGTAAAACTCTGTGAGCTTTGGCAGAAGTGAGCTCCAGACTGAGTGTGTTGTCATTTTTCTTCTTCAGCTGCCCAAAAGAAGGCATGTTCCATGTTGTGAATTTTGCAAGCACTGGGAGCATAGGCAGTAACCTTTCTTCATATGCAGGTTAAACAGGCCAGTCTCCGGATCCATGTCAACCATCCATCCATCCATCCATCCATCCATCCACCCATCCATCCATCCTTTTAAATTAATAGAACAGTGTAGTGGATTTGTTAACAACTAGGTTTTGTCTCCTTTTCATTTGCTCTAAAGTGAGATCTATTTGTGGTTTTTATCTTTGCCTGTTTAATAGCGGTCATCTTTTTGGTGCTACTTTAGTGTTAACTGGAAGTTTTGGTCTAGAACAGCTGCATACTTCCCTACAAGGGACAATATGTTGACTATGTAACTTAAAATCACCTATCTTGGTATAGTGAGTGAGTATAAAGGAGAGCTTTTAATTTGTATCTCTTGTTCTCAAGTTCTCTTGTCTGTTAAAACAAAGCCCTAATACTGAAAAATGGTGACGATGTTATTTTTAGCTGCCATTTCACAATGAAAATTCTTTGTTCTTTTATTATTTCTTCAGAACATTGTTTGATAGATTGAGCTGAACGTGCAGATATGTTTAGCTGCATTTTAGCTGTTCTTCTGCTCCACTTTGCTTTTTTTAAAGCCTTATTCTGAATCACATTGTTTTGTTTAAAAGAAAGTAATTAGCTTTCTCTTTTGCTGCCCCTACATACCTTTATGGTATGTGATCCTGCTGTTAATGCATGCTCTACTACTGGCAGTAGAGGTCCAGGGAGCAACTCCTGCTTGCTCTTTCATTCCTGGRTTTCTTAAGGTTGGCAGAAGTTAGTGTTTGCCAGTGTTGCTTTATGGAACTTTAAAGCTAATCTTTTCTTATTAATCCCTTTTTATCATCCAGTCTTGCCCTGTTTCCATTTTCCGACTCATTCAGGTTATTCAGGTCTGCAAAGAGTCTAAATGTCCAGAAGATGGCAAGAAAGAAGGAGGTGGAATGAATGTTTGTGTCCCTTAGCTCTCACTAGGCTAATAGTTTCCAGGGAAATTGCTACCCTATAACAGTGTCTCTATGCAAAAAATAAAACTCAAGCCTGCAGATAAAGTTTTTTTCTTATTTTAAACATTCTCTTGGTGAGAAAGTGAAGGAAAATTAGGTCAGAAAATTTTCCTTCACTCTGTCACCAACAGAAAGTTTTAAATCTCTGACTTTTTTTTGTACTTGGCTGCATGCTATGTGCCAAAATATTGACATTTTGGTGAAAATATGACCTTTGTAAATAATAGTGTTACCGTGCTTAAATTTCCTGATGTTTTGGATGCGACTTCTTCTGCTTGTTTTCTCAAAGTTTTACAAGCTTTCAATTAGTCATGATGAAAACTGTCATGTGGCTGTTTTTAAAAAGTCAAAAATAATTTGTGATAACTGGGTTACATGGGATACCAYGAAGTTGAATGCAACTATATTCATGACTTTATTCCTGGACAGTGATATCCAGCAGAGATCTGATGGTTGTGTCCTGGATGCTGTACAGATATCAACCCAGTTCTTTACTCAAATGCTGTATACATTTTTGAATATGACAGCTTTTCCAGAATATAGTTTTATTCTTCGGAAAGAAGAGTCATTAGTCAATATAAGATATTGATGATCTACACCTCATAACGTCAATCTTTTTCTTTTCAATTCTAGGAAAATTGTACTTCTTTTCAGATGGCATTCTCTTTTCTCATCCTCACTATGGCAGCATTTCCATTTCAAAGAACCATATGAATTCCATTTCTTTCTACGATGGGGTGAGTATTTTGATTGTCTGTTCTTACTGTCATAGAATATTTATCAATTAAAAGAAAAACTTTTGTAAGAGACTCATGTAAATGCTTGTTTTTAAGTACAGTTTTAGTTTGTTTAAAACTAATGGTATAGATGCAAATCTCTACATTTTTATCCAGAGAGGYTGTTGAGTCTCCTTCTTTGGAAATATTTAAAAGCCACCTGGATGCAATCTGGAGAATGTGCTCTAGGTCACCTTGCTTGAGCAGCGGAGATGGACTAGATCATCTCCAGAGGTTCCTTCCAACCTCAGCCCTTCTAAGATTCTGGGATATTTTCTATTGGTTTTAGATTAGCTGAGCTGTATTTAGGAGACAACTGAATTATTAATGCTTTCTTAATAGCATGGAAAATTACTTTTTATTAACAGAAAAGTTGCAGAAAGTAGCATTCATAAAACATCTAGCCATCTTCGGCAATGGATCGAGAAAAGTCCAAGTGTTTTTATAGTGTTAGAGTGTATTGGTGGGTGAAATGTTGCCTTCTATTCAAAATATACTTAACCTTCAGCCAAATGTTGGTGACAATCAACTGCTTATCTCTGGAGGGGTCACGAGGAGTGTCTGTCTGCTGTCATGGAGTGTTGTGTAACCTCTGTGAAGGGAATGACTGGTCCGAGTTTTCCAAGTTGAGAGAAGTGAGAAGGAAAGGCATGTTGCCTGTAATTACACATATTTTACTTAATTACAGTAAAAGACAATGCTAGGCATAGAGTTTTGTCACTCCTCTGATCAAGTTAGATCAGTTCACTTAACACTTAACTTGGCAAACTTGCCAGGCTCATTCTTTTCTTGAAGTGGCAAGCTTCTTTGTGGGAATAGAGAATGGAGTTAATGACAGCAGCTCTTTTTTCCCCTCTTTAAGGCAGAAACACTAGGTTAACTATCATTTTAGAACTGAAAGGAGAGATTCTTTAGGGTGGTTATCATTTCTTATGCACGGAGAAGACATCTTTATTTCCTTTAGTTTCTATTTTCTTCGGGTGCACATTTGTTTAGTGACCTGGAGAGAGCACTGCATGCCTGTGATTTCATCATATAATGGGAAAAAACAGTTAAAATACAATAAAAGTGGGTGATTCAATTGAGATGAAAACACAACACTGAAGAGAATCTTACTTCAGCTGCCTTTTCTTGTGTGCCGTATTGATTGCCCCTTCAGAGTTTAAGAAGTTATTTTAACACTGACCTTCCTTCTATTGTTTAGTTTGAGACGCTCACTTTCATAAAACCTAAGCTATTTATGGGACCTGGCTCTCATTCTTGAACCGATGCCAGATTTTTGTGTAAAGCTAAACCTTGACATAGAGGATTTTATTGTCTAACTGACTTGGCAGAATGCAAGGGTGGAGATCTTAAAATATTAAGAAGTGACAAGAGGAGAAGGGTGATTGTTAGTGTGCTTTTTTGAAAGCTACTGTAACAACAATGCAGATGCAGAGGAAAAGATAATTTAATGGTAGATTTTAAGCACAAGATAGAAGACTTTGGGTGATACAAAACACAGTTGCTCAGCAGCTGTCTCAGCGCGTGTCTGCTGGGTGCTTCTCTTTTGGGTCTCAAAATACACCCACAAAAAAGTCTCCAAAACCTCCCAAAAGCATCCCAATTCTGGGGAATCGGGCACAGAGCTCCCAGCTAAACTGCTAAAGTACTTGAGGCTTGTGGGCAGATCCCTCACGAAACAACTCTATGAAGAGCTAAAGAATTTACAAATTTAACAAATCAGACAGACTTTMGCGGAACCCTGTGTCTCCCATCTCCCTTGATGTAAGGCAGGRCCCTTCTAGCTTTGTACCAGCTCTTCTGTGAAAGAGAAGAAAACTCAATGGACTGAGTTGACATCTCAAAGTCCCATTTTTTTTCTTCTTCTGTAACTATTCAGTATATCAGTATATTACAGAGGCTAGATACTCTGTGCTGGGTTTTGGATTTTTATTTAAGACCAGGTCTTGAAGCTTGTAAGCACCTGAATCCAATATTCATTTTGGCCCAGAACCACCAAATGAAAAAACATTATTAAGTAATACTTACATTTCCCAATAGTGGTAATGTCCTGCAGAATTCTGGCATAGGCTGTTTTAACCCAGTGGATGTAGAGATTATTGCTGCATTTCTGCAGCTTTATTTGATTTGTGGAACACTGAACATTTTCTAAAAGGAGGGGCACATTCTGTTAGGCACTTTTTATTTAACTGTAGTCAGTTTTAATTTAACTGAAGAGTTTTCATGGTAATTTTTCTGCAGGTTATCCCACCGAATCAAGGTCTAAAAGCTATTTTTGCTTAAGGTAGTAACTGTCTCTGCCATTTGTGAACATTTCTCAGTAACCTCAATGATTTATAGAGGTTTACTTTTATACCTAATCCTTGAGTCAGCGAGGTAGATAGAGATTCTTTCTCTGTCTCTGAATTAACACTGAATCCTGTTCAAGTCTTCCCCAACTTGAGGTTACTTCTGTAAAAATTGCTAAGTAGAGTTCTTAGTCCACTTATTCTGTTAAAGAGATGAGCATTACTAGTTTTCTGGTTTGCACATTTGAGCACTGGAAACCCTATTCTCCAGGGATGCGCTTTCACACCTCTGAATTGTTGTCGTAGGAAAAGGCTAAAAGTCAAAGATAAAGAGCAGATGATTTTAGCATCCTGCAAAGCTTTGCAGAGGCTTCTGTCCTGGAATTTGGAAAACCAAGGGTTAGTGTTGATTTCTTAAAACTGAGGCTAGAACTGCTGAACCCTCCCTGCTTTTAATGGACACCAATCTTGAGGACTCCAGCTTCCTGTTGACAAAGAAATACAGCTGAGTGGCAGGAGCAAAAGATTTAATAAAACTGTGATCACTGATAAATCTGAGAGAAAAAAAAGGCACTGCCAATGTGCGAGTGCTGTCTGCTTTAAATTGCAGGCCTGCTCATTGCACAGCTTTGTAGCATGGTTGCTCTCATGTCAGGACCTGAAGAGAATTGTATAAAACGAGTCTGTAATATCACTGTACTATCTTTCTAATCTTCTTAGGTGACAGACTTAATTCACTCTTGGATGGTACATGTGTCAGGGAGAATTATTAGGTGTAGATTAACAAGGTAGTTCTGATGTGAAGCTCTAGGAGTTACATGCAGAATAAAGGGCTACAGTGCTCGTTTTTGTAGGAGAGGGAAGAGAATAGATAGTAAAATGCAATTGGTTTTCACAAAGAGAGAAAGTTCAGAATAACAATCTTAATGTGTTCTCTTTAAGGTTAGGCTTGTGGTGAGTTGAGCAGCAGGGAGTAGAAGCTTTAGTTGATCCTTCTGCTGCTTATCTGCATRATGCAAGCTAATGAATCTTCAAATACTTATGCGTGCCCAAATGGGGCTGTAATAGTTGTTTTCTGATCTGTGCAATTTAATGTATTAAGTCTTTTTCTCACTTTCAGTAATTGTTAATTATAAATTATCCTCTTTTTTTGCTTTCTAGGATTCAACCAGTGTTGTTGCCGCTCTCTTTATAGACTTCAAAAGTTCCTTGCTTGTGCATCTACCGATTGAATTCCATAGCCAAGGAAATTTATTGATGATTGCACTTTTCCCCAAAACAATGATTTATAAAGCCTTCTATTCACAGGTAAGGCAAATAAGCATTGTCCTCTGTTTGTTTTTTTTCACCCCAAACCATCTTGGCTGTTTTTCAGAGGAGTGGCAAGGGTGAATTTGTTAATAGGGCTGCATTAGCTGTTTAAGTTTGAACAAAACATTGGATTTGTGTTTCCCATGCTTTTGGAGCTATGATGGCAATTCATCTGATACATAATAGAGAACAGGTTAGAGGACTAGGTCTTTCTAGTTCTGGTCTTCAGCAAAACCTGTTCYGATACCTGTCTGGACCAGTACAGTTTGGGAAGGAGAAGGGGCAGCCAACCCTGGGGGAGCAACAGGTTAGGAAGCACACTGAAAATTCCCTTTGTGATGGAATGTTACACATACCTTAACTTTAGCCATGCTTTTGACAGTGCATCATTCTCATTTGGAAGCTGAGGAGATACAGAGTGAGCAAAGCACCAAGGGGTTGTTTTCTGGGTCCAGCATTGTTTAATGTCTTCATTTACAACCCTGGGATGATCCTGAACTGTGGGAGATTAGTTGACACTGGCAGAGCTTCTAGAGAGACCCAAAGAGATWTGAGGATTGTGTCAACAGAAAACATCAAGGAGCTCAAGAAAACTGAACATCTGTACCTGAGGCAGAATAACCCCAGACATAAGTCCCGTCTAGGAACCTTCATTTTGGGAATTTTTGAAAAGTTGGCTAGACAAAACCACAGCTAATGAAAGATACGTTGCCAGTTATCCTGCTTGGAGCAGGAAGTTGGTCTTGAGACTCCAGAGCCTGTCTTCCAGGCAGAAGCACTCATGACATCTTCTACTCTGTGGAACTTAACACTGAGTCTCCAAGAGAMTGCACTGACACGCAGTCCTTTCCAGTACATATTCTGTAGCATATTTTCTGTAAGGCCATAGCCTTTCAATCAGTAACCCTTTTCTTTAATTGACTGTATGAGATAAATAATTGCTTCTGATCTTAAGACCTGCACGTGTGAGAAAGCTAAGCTTGTGTAGATATGTCTAGTGATTGCATTGCTTGTCGAGTTTAATGCTCCCCATGTGCTTTCATTTTGCCTTCTGCAGTCAGCRAACACTCAGCTTGTTTTTGAGCAGTTGCATTTTGGATGTAGCACTGGTGTGTAATTGGCTGCAGCGGTTGTACGTGGTGGCAGAGGTTCTATTGTGTGTGTTTTTTGTGGTCAGACACATTTGGATCGTCATCCTGAGGGAAGTTTTGTTGGAGTCTTTAAGCATCCCATAGGCCATTGTATTATTTTCTCAAATAGATTGGCTTCATGCATCGCAAGGCAGCAGCTTTTAATAAACTAAACTTTATAACAATAGCACTTTTGAGGAAATGAGCCTGGAGATTTTAGGGCTTCACTAGGATTTTGGTGTGCGATCCGAATGCTGGACTGGAGAAGACCACCTAGATGTATGTGTGCAGTCACCACTGGTAGCATCAGTGACACCATAAAATCAGTCCTCCTCCTGTCTTGAAAGTGTTTGGATGACTTAGTTTAGACTTACTGCTCTTCCACTATGCTAGTTCTTGGATTTCTTTTTCCAGATTTCCAGCCTATTTTGCTAAATCTACTTTTACGCTTCTTTTTTTTTTTCCTTCTGTTCTCCCTGTGAACATCCTTGAGATGTTCTCAGACTTCAGACCTAGGCTATTCCTGGCTGATCTAGCCTGAAACAATATCCTTTTTCAGTCTGTGCTTATAAAACATTCCCTTCTGATTGTCATAATTGTTCTCTCTTGATTTGGCCAYGATGCCCAAACTGCGTGCTCTGCCCTAGATGAGGGTAGATGTTTCATGTACGGAGATGGTCTCAGTTTTGTCTCCTCTCCTGGGGCATCCTTGATTTGCCTTTGCCTTTTCAACTAATAGAACATGGTTGTTTTACAGGACACTTCTTCAGGTCGATCTCTGGCTCCCTGCTGATATTCCAGCTGACAGCAGAAGGGTTCTTTTTTGTGCTCACTCCTGCTTCTCATATTTCTGCCTGTTTTTATTACTGCTTCTGTAATTCTGTAGCTAGGTTTTTGGCTCTCTAAATCATGTCAGTGCTGTGTAGGCTGTCTCCCAGTTTTCGCCTCACCCCAAAACGTGCTGTGAATTGACTTTAGTTTGGGGCAGACTCATTTTAAATAAGTTCTCGGTGTGTTTCCTGAACACCTCGACCAGTGAATTTCCTCAGCCTGGGACTTCTTTCTACCCTACTTAGACCTGCCTTCCTTTGGGTTGGCTTTCTGCCTAGCAGTTCTTTACTGAGTCTCAGTTTTTGCAGTTGGACAGTTGATCTAGCACTGTACCATACAGTTTGCTCAAATAAAACCATGTCATTTGTCTAGAAAATGTTATATTGTCAGAGCTATTCAAAAAAGCAAGTATTCCTCACAAAATAGGCTGTGTAGGAAACAGATATTACATTTATTTTATTATTATTTACCTTCAGCTATCTGCTATTTTCCTCCCAAAGCTGTTCTGAAACGTAGCATGGCATTGTCACAAATACAGAACCTATGGTTAGAAAAATTGCTAATACATAGATAGCATTTCTACCCTTCTACCCAATCATCTGTCATAAAACATGCTTTGAAAGGCTTGCTGCCGGAGTTGTTCCTTAATACTCCAAGTGTTCCTGAATTGGCTGTGGCAAGTATCCATTCCTCCAGATCTGGGTGCAATAAATTCCTGCTGATTGGGTGTTGGTTGCAAGATCTTGTTCGATCCCACCTCTTTTCTCTTTCTCCCCAGCCCTTGAACTTCTGCAGAACTTCTGCTTTGTGTTTTTAGTGTTGCCCAGTCCCTCTTTCCATGTTACTCAGTCCTGCTATGTGTTCTGAAGTGCTTATTTGCTTAGCTGCATGGATCCTTCAACACAAGCAATATTGGCTTTGTTAATGGCAAAAGTTTATTTGGTTTTGGTACTTTTTATCTCGCTACCCTTGTGCTTACGATGCTGACTTGTTAATGGAAAGCAGTCGTCTTCCCCCTGCTCCCCCCGATTGTTTTGTCTTGCAGCAGATTATTGTGAAAAATGACAATGGCTGTTGCCTTATTAAAAGAAGGGAAATACTGAACATTTAAATAACTGCGTGATTCATCTGAATCTGATTTCTAGGTTCATAGTGCCATTCATATTAATGGGACTTGGCTAGAGGAATCGGATGTGAGCCAAAACGCTCTTCCCCAGAGACACGAAGGGCTCCCTTCCTTTGAGTAGGAGCAGAGTTTTTCTTGTATTTCTAGAAATATGATCACTACGTTCTTTCCTCGTGTAAATTACAGGAGTGCTTGAACGAGATGTATGTTAATAAAGTTATTGCTATACTGTAGTTCTATTAAAATGGATTTTTTTCTGTATTTTGAATGCTATTAGCAGAAAAGAGTATTGTGTAATATTGTTTTAAAAGACCAATTAAAATGTGTATGTCTTTAGACAAAAACAGAGCTTAAGAATCCTTGGGTTATGCATAAACACCTCTTCCAAACTCAAATTAACAATACTTAGCAGTTGATTTGGCTTGTTCCAGGTTTTTTCCTTGTGGCAAAACCAGACGGGCTCAGGATTGTGTTTAAAAGTTGTCCAGGAAGAATTCCTGTCCGTGGAACAAAAGAGACTGTAAGTTCCTGCCACTTAGCGGGTGTATCATTTGCACTGCCTGTATGCTACAGTCAGAAAAACGCTGCCACTTGGTGATAACTTTAACAATGATTCAAAAAGGAATCTTTGTTTTCAAACTAAAGTTTACTTTGTGTTTTTATACTAATCATTATTATGTAGCCATCCGGTTTGATCTAATTTAAAGTTGATAAATGTCTCTATTCATTTTTTCTTTAAAGAACCTGCTAATTACTGTGTTTGTTTCAGACATTCCAGTGTTCAGAAGCTGTTTAATGCCTCGTCCCTTCCTTCTGGGGAAAGATGCAGCCAGCTGAARCTGTCGGCTTCCCTCCCAGACTTGGAAAGGTGAGTTCAGGTTTTCTCAGGAATAGCATTATTCTGTATACCCAAAGGTTCTGTATTTTTTTCTAAAAAATGCTTATTTAATAAATCTGCCTTCACACTAGATATTTTTATGCCGAGATGAATTATTTCCTCTCTAGGAAGCCACTGTTTGTCCGTTACTTACCATCCTATTTTAGCAAAATTATTTGGCAGCTATTTGTATGAGCAGAGCCTTTTGGTCTGGATTGTAGTAAAATAAAACTTTCTTTTTAAAAGGTTTCTGCAACATTTCWCTGTCAGCAGCGTCAGTCATGAGCCGGTCATGAGAGCACATCTTCCTATTTTATTGCAACAGTCAGAAATCATTCCTGAAAAAGCAGAAAGTGATAAGGTAAGGCAGCAACCCAGTAATACTTCCYTTCATAGGGTATTTACCAAATATGTTTGGTTCAATGTAATGCAGTAAAGCACTGATAAAGGTTTAACCACGCTCTCTGCCTGCTTCCCCTTAGCATCAGTTCACACTGAATTGGCTTCCACTGTGTTTCTCACAGTCAATTGCTCTGCCCTCTTTTCCTGCTTATATTATTTATTTTTACCTTGTAAAAGGTCTTTTGGAAGTGCTGGTGGCCCTTCAGCTCTGATAAAATCGAGGCAGAAAATGAAGAGTAGATCTTCAAGTGAGCAGTTTTCTTTAATGCCCAGAGAGGGTTAGCCCTAAAGCAGTAGTTTGTTTTTATGAATTGCTGAATAATTTAACTGAATTGTTCTCTGGAACATAAAAAGACCTTTAAATAGCATAGAGGCAGCACATGATATTTAACATTTGCTGATATTATCTGTAGAACACTTCGTTCTCTATAGGGGCAGTAACAATTGTCAAACTTCAGGAGCGCTTTAAATAACATTTTCAGAGAAAATATGTTCTGGTAACTTCCCAACATTTTAAAATCTAGTTTAGGGAGGAAAGAAAGTGAAAAAGGAGCATATTCTCTCTCTCTCTCTCTCTCTCTCTCTCTCTCTCTGAATATTGCAATATCGTGATAACTTTATTGCTTGGGATTTAGTTCAGAGATTATACTTAAGATGTATCAATAGTATTTTAAAATATGACTTTAAGGTTGTTTTAAGTATGTGTGAGTTCTGAAAAAGAAAAAAGAAAAAAAAAAACCTTTATAATAATGATGCAGTTTCTATAAACCATGGCAATGTAGAACCACTGATTTTGGATTTACTTTTCTAAACCTTTTGCCGCTGATGCTCAATTGTGTGAGCATCCCAAAACTTGGGCCATGCACTTGGACTATTTTTCAGTGTTTCTTTGCTAGACCCAAGAGGGCTGTAATTCCTGTCTAAATGCCACAAAAGAGAGCCCCAGGAGGAGAGGGTGCTCTGTGCAGAAAAGCTGTGGGAGCTGCTGCTGTTTTAGAGCTGTTACTCTACAGCCTCTTCCCAAACCTACTCAARGCTTCATGCAGCTTTACTCAGAGCTGGAATAAGCTTTGTGTGTAGCACAGTCGGGTCAGTACCCAAAATAGAGAGTTGCTCTTCATATTTSACCTTGACATTAAGACTATTTGATATATTCCACCACTTCCTATTTATTCTTTGAATCATTTTGCCCAAATACTGTGGTACCTGGATGCACCTTTTCCATTTTATATAGGAAATCTAACTTAACTGGTATCTCTTGGAAGATTTCCTCTTGTCTTTGCATTAATGCTGACATTACAGACTAGGTCTTCATGCAGTGACTCTGATAGCATCGTGTTTGCTAATTATATTTTCATTGTACTAAAGGTATGGAAAAAGTTTTGAAAAACAAGGTGATGAAGCACATGGTTCTAAAATGATGCACATCTGAGTAATTGCATACACATCTGCAGTCACTGTATTCTCCTGTCGTGCTCATTCTGCAGAGTGATGGCCCTTAGTTTTGGACTGAGACTTTACATTTTATGGAGATAACCTTATATGTGTCTGTAGCTCATTTCTTGCATTTCCCTTTCCTGTTCCTTGTATTTCAGGTGGTCATCACAATTATTACCGGCCTTCCAGGCTGCCGCTGCAGTGATCTCTGCACTTTCCTCATCAGTTTTAACAAGGAGCGTGGAAGGTTAGTGCCATTTGTGTGTCCGCAGAAGCAGTGGTTGTATTAGTTGTTAAAGCACAATTCAGCTTAAAGGAATTGAAAATATGAATTCTTCAYTTTTTATATCACAGTTTCTGGTGCATAAGACAGGGATACTGATGTCAGCTTGCTTCTCCCGTATGTTATGAAAATAATACAGTAAATATTATGAAGTATCTTAAAGTATTTTACCCTTGATACAGTTCTGTTACTTCAGATATCTCCATTACTTGTGTTATGTCAAGTAGATCTGCCCTTAAATACTGCACATTTAGACAGGAAAAATACCAGGAGAAATTCTTTGTTAATATTCCATATTAAAAATTGGAATACCAGAGGTTGCCTTTTAGATCTGTGCTGTCTGCATCCAGAAGTATCCCTGCTCCCACAGACAGCTAGTAATCCTAGAGGAGCCAGCATGAATCCTGGCTTAAGCTACTGCAAAAGTGGTAGTTGTCACAACTTTAAGGGATCAGATGAAGAACTTCCACTTATTGATTTCCATGGTAGCGAGTCCAAGGTACATTTTTTATTCTCAGAGAAAACCTTGTACTGACAATTTTGCTGCAGCGTTGTTTCCAGTGTGCCCTGGTTTCTATTCTACAGGAGAGGTCTTGAATGTATCTCCTACTATTGTATGGCAATGAGACAAACTCACTAGAAATTTGCCTCATTTTGTGTATTAGTAACCTTTTTTGTTTGAGAAAAGACTAGAAGAAATTCTTTTCTTTTTAAATCTTAYAGCCTGAGACCCTGAGGTTTAATCTTAGTCATATTCTAGACTCTTTTGATGWATTATTTCTGATTCAATCTTTTTTGTTAGCAATTTGTTTCACAGAATACTGTAGTGGGTTAGTTTTTAGTGCAAACATGTAAGAGGTTTTTGAATGTTCTCTATTACGACATTTCATCATGTTTCAGTGCAAATGTCATCATTGCTTTTTATTTTTGCAGTGCAACATTTTCATGGCCAAAGTCTTGTAARTTAGATTCATAGAGGTTTCCTTTTCTTTTACTGTGAACAAAACTGTATTGTATCACTAATGTAGATCAGAATTATTCATTTGGTGTGCAGCTTTGAAGAAGCTGTTGAACAGTGTTTTGTTATAATTAAAATAAAAATCCTAAAAGCCACAAATCCTTCTAAGGAATATAATTATGTTGAAACAATACAAGACTAACTAAGATAGAGGGAATCTCAGACTTTGACAAATCTAACCTTGGATTTTGCTTCAAAATAGAAAAGTAAACTGAAATACTGTGCCTTAGCACTAACCACTTGCCTTGTTTTTCATCTTTTTAGGTGGCTCGTGTATCGACAAACTCTGGATAGTCCTGAGTGTTTCAGTGCTGCCCACTTCCAGCGTTACCTCTCCGGTGTCCTGGAGGCCCAACAGAACCCCAGCGCCCGCCAGGCCGCTTACGCCAGGAAGAGCAAGCGACTCTTAGTGGTCCTGCAAGGGTAAATGTTTGAAACATGTTGGAGTCTTGCATAAAACAAGGCATTTTCTATGCCCGTTCTGTTTGCAAGACACTTTTTTTTTCCCCCATCAAATCTCTGTGCTAAAGAGCAATGTTCTGTTAATGCCGTTTGACGTATGTACCAACCTCAGCTTTTCTGCAGCCTGCTAATTTTATTCCTCGTTACTCCGTGGAAAAAAAGGTGTGTGGAGTCTTCCATCATACTGGAAAGGGCTGAGGTTGGTTTGTGTTCTGCATTCAGAGGCTGGCTGCTTTTTTGGCCTCCCAAAAGACGTTTTCTTGCACTTCTCTAGCTGTATCAGAGACTGTTGTTAAATGACACCGTTACTGCAGCTGTGTTTTTTTTCCCCACCACCCAAGTCCTTGGTAGTCATATTTGTCCTTCAAAGACACCTGAGAGCTTCACGCTCTATTCTCATATCTACTTGATATTCAAGTGATATTTTCATATCACATGAAGAGGTAAAGACAGGTCTCAGTCTTTAAAGCTGTTGATTTGGAGGACAGCAATAGAAGAGAGACAGCATGGGATTATGTTATAAAGTGCCCTCCAGAGCTGTAGGTGAATATCACTGTACCTACTATAGCATCGTTTTAATGTATGTGGAAAGAAAGARTGGTGCAGATTGTAGTCCTTGTTAGTACGCAGGCAAATTCTTGCTACTTTTTCCCAGTGGACACGCATTTTTCAGATAATAAACCATTAGAACCTGGACTAAATGCACAACAACATGTTGTGCAGTGCGGAAAGGCATGTTCACCGAGTTCGCACCCTACTTTTCAAGTATCATTTTCTTTGAAAGGCTGCTAAAATATTGAAAATGTTTTGATGTAAAAATAAGGGCGGAGCACCTCCCATTTTCTTTCACAGGAAAATCCATTGTACTTAGAGCCTTAGGGTGAGGATATTTTGGTAACTTTTAATTTAAGTAGCTTGGAAGTAGAGTTTAATTTCAGGAAGTGTGAATTGGTGTGACATAAGGACTGTAATTATCTTTTAAGTGCAGTACCTTAGACTTATAAAGATCAGCAAGTGCTAGAGAATCATTGATGAATAAATGCATAGTTTTCAGAATTAAATGGCTCATTCAGTTGGCATTTTTCCTCTAAATAGAAACTTAAAATCCTAAGCTAAAGTGACTATTGTTGAAATTTTTGAACAAAGAATGGATAGGCTGGAGTAAGCGTAAGAACATCTTTCCCTTTTTGCAGATATTTAGGATCTTTTTCTGCATAGATGCTTGGTTTTCCTTTGCATCTCTTGGTGCTTTGATTCTTTTAAAGTATTAGCTACAAAAAATGTGACTTGAGTTTCTTTTTATTTGAGTTCTCAGAATTTCGGTTTAGAAAGGAGAGGTAATATTGTATGGTAGTTACTTCTGCAGTTTGTGTAACAAATCTAATATCATATAGAATGMTATTAGAAGTCTCTGAGTCTCTGTATGACAGAAGGAACAGCTCCATAAAGCTTATGGCCTCAGAGACTCTACTGTCAAAAATATGCTGTTCACTTGATTCAGCAAGAACTATTTAAGTAAGACCGATTAATTAGCATGTAATGCATTTTCTTCCTTAACAGTCCATTCTGAAAATGCTAAAAAGCATTATTTTTTTTCCATGTTTGAGTAGGTGAGCATTTTTTTTCTTAATTTTAGTAAAAATGGTACAGGATCCACAGATGTGCAAAATATTTGCTATTTTGCAGTTGACACTGGCTTTAAGAATGGTTATTAAGTTATTTTGCAGTTGACACTGGCTTTAAGAATGGTTATTAAGTTGTGGGTTTTTCTATACTTTCTGAGTAGTTAAGTGTGGGTATAGAGCACTTGGAGGTAGCCAGACTTCTCTATGCAATCCATTAACTTCATAACTATCGATAGAGTTTTGAGAAAAGATTATAGCTTGCTGAAAAATAGACATCTGGAATAAAAACTTAGGTAGGTTTTAACTTGTCATCCAGAACTATAATAGAGCTGTATCTGAAGAACTGATAGAAAATGGGTATACTATAATAGCTCCCTTAAATTTGAATGCAGATAAAACTGTGAGTTAGATGTTACCTATTAATTTACTTTTTTAGGTGAGTGAGATGTAGTCATCGTAAATTATACATTTTGCCGAAGTCTTAATGTGCTTGTACTTCTGATACGTGTTTGGGGGCTTCCAGGAAGCCACACTTAAAGTTGCTCAGTACCAAACTTATTCTGCTTTTCACTGTCACTGTAAATACTCTGTTTCTCATGGTGCTTATAAACTGCTTAATTGCCCAGATTTAAATAGTTTTGAACTGCACTATAAATATTCTGATGGACTTTTTAAGAAATCTAACGTTGTTGCTAGCATTTCTTCTTATTAGATGTTGAATTATTTCATTTTGCTTCTCTGAAAACAAATCTTCCCTTTTTCTTTTACAGATACACTGATATTATTGATGTTGTACAGGCTCTACAAACTCATCCTGACCCGAATGTGAAGTCGTCTTTCATCATTGGAGCAATTAATACTTGTGTAGAGCCACTGAGTTGCTATATGGAGCACAGGTAGGTTTAAAAATATTTTTAGCAGTCTGAGAACAGATTGTGTGCAAATTATAAGATCACTTCTATGATAATTGGAGCCACATGATGGCTAAACACCATTGATCTATATTAAATTTCCTTAAAACGTCTAGGTAATCTCTATTGGGAAAAATTAATATGATTTAACTTACCGTGATAACATTTGACTTTCACCAGGTGTATAATTTGGCTCTAAAATCRTAAGTTGTGGAAAAGCAAACAAACATTGGCAAAAATGACAAACAAACATTTTATAGTCTGTTAAAATAAACATGTATAGCTTACGTAAGGGCCTTGTAAAATCTTGACAGTCAAATGCCCTGTCATGGTTTGGGTTCTTTTATTCATACTTTTCCAGTAAGTCTTATCACAAACATGGTTACAGAATGAGATGTTCACCTCAGTTTGGCTTATTGATTTTATCCTTACGTTAGGTATAAAATGAAGAATTTCCAGATTTAAAATGTTGAATTTCTGGATTTAAAATTTTGTGGAAGAGATCAGCAAAGCATGGAAGCAGAAACATTGCAGGTTTTAAAAGCAGAGGCAGGGTGGGGAGGAAACAGTAGCAAAGCCAAGTTGCTGACATTTTAAAATAGCATTGTGTGGTTGCTCCTTCATAGTATGTGTGTTCCAGACCTCAACAAACGTGGAACAGAGCAGGTTTGTGCTCACAGAGCAGGTTTGTGCTCACCGAGATATCTGTAAAATCATAATTCTCAAGTTAGCAAGTTAGAACATCAAGTTAGATGCTTTGCAGCTGTCTTGATAATAGTAAAGCATTGATCATTTTCAAAGTTCTTAGAATTACTGCTTTTGCCATACAACTTGGCAGTTCTGCTCTGAGTTTTGGTGCAGAATCATATCATGAATGTGCATTTCTAAAACTTCCTAACTTTATCCAAAAAACACTGCATTAAGCTTTGTCTTCGCACAGGCAATAAATAGAAATTATCTCACTGCTGCTTCTGGTCTCCTTAACAAAGACATAATCCAAACTACTTAAAGTCTTGATGAATTGAATGGTGGACTCCTGTTTTACCTTGTTTTTCTTTTTTCCCCAAGAATGTAGTGAAGGCAAGTTCCTTCCCTAGGTATTTTTTAACTCGCTTAACGTGTTGCTGGTCATGCCACCAAGTGGTATTTATAGCAGCAATAGTCTACAGCSCTTTGACTAACATTGTTTGTCTCTCAAAGTAGCAATTGAAGGAAGAGGCTTAGCCCACAATGTGGACTATTTGTGTCTCACTTTGAAGTTTCTTCTGATAAGAGCTTCTGAAGTAGCCCTATACCAATGGCAAGTCTTTCAGTTGGGAAACTCCGGCGTTTTCACTGTGAGACTACTCCAGAAGAGTCATCTAATTTTTGATTTGAAACCTTCGCAATTAAGCAATGCAAAACACTTTCYCATCCCGGCAACTTTGATACAGCAGATACCAAACTCATTCATGATCTAGAGTGAAGTTCTTTACAGTGTTCCCTAAGGAGCCAGAGCAAGGGAAAGGTGATTGAAAGGAAGGAGATACGATGCTCTCTTTCCTCTGGACTTTCTGTATGTGTGATCAAGCTCATAAAAATAATGGTGCCATGTCTGACACAATGCCAGAAGTTCATGTGATACCCAACATCGAGCAGAAAGCCTTAAGTGCAGCCTCTCTATGAGGAGTTCCTACTTTTCTGAAAGGCTCAATATTGTAGGTGGAGCAAACAGAAAGTTTTATTTTTCAACCAAATTTAAAGGACTGTTGACGTTTTTCTAACTTTAGAGTGTAGAGTGGTAGGAATTATCTCTCCAGATCATTTAGAAAAATAAAGACATGTAGAGGGCTAACTTTGAGGAAAGAACTCTTGAAATCCTGTAGGGATGTTTCAGTAGTAAGATTTGTGAGGAAAAGAAACATAAAAGTCAATTGATTAGTGAGATTCTTGCTGTCAACATTCGAATAAATAGAAACACTTTCTATTTAAAGGGACATATGTATAAATAGCATCTCTTCTTAATATATAAATTTTGTTTTTATCTTTTTAGACTTCTTTTTCCCAAGTTCTTGGACCAGTGTTCACAAGGTATGTATTGTCTCTCTTGTCTGTAACATATACAGAACAAATAGCAGAGCCATATAGCTGAGTACTCACACTGCCTATGTGTATAGTCAAAGGATGATGATAAATTCTTGGAGCAGCCTACACAGAACCTCCCTATCCTGCTAAGCACCATGGTTCATGGAGAGGGTTTAAGAAGCTGGAGCACAATACGTGCGTGCATCCCCTCACCAGGGAATGTTTTCCTCAAAGCTGTGGATTAACCTTACCTTAAACTGCTGGTTTCCTGGGCTATAATCTGGGATCCACAGTGTTTGAGTGTTAAGCGTGGCCTCTCTCTTGGGAAGACATGAAAAGTGGAGCTGTCCTTTGGTTGGCCTCTTTTAGGAAGGGAAAAAGAGCTGGCTTGTTTCCCATATTCTCTTTTTGATACGGTATGGAAAATACCTGCAAGTTTCATTTGGCATTAGAGCAGTTTCTGAGCCACAGGAAAYAGCAGAACATCTCCCTGTAATTAAATAATTTTAGCTATTTAGCTAGGCTGATTTTCTCTTCTTTTTTTTTTCTCTTTTTTTATTTTGGAAGAAATTCTAGGTATGACTCTGTGTTGCCTTTTATTTTTTTTTTTTTAATTGTTAGATCTATTTCTCATTCCTTCTGAATAATTGCATGTTAAATGGCAGCGTTACAGACCAGACAGAAATATGCAGCAGTTTTCAGTGTGTCACATCCTTTAAAGCAATTAAATGAAACGCGTAAGTTAGGCTGTCTTCTGAGAAATACATTTCTAGGGAGTAATACTCATCTTCTATTTTAACCTGTATAAATCATTTGAAGGAGTAATTACTCTATTTAAATACAGCCACAGGGCAGTTTTTGCCTTAACACACTTCTGTTCTGAGCTGAGAAGTGATGAAGTGACCTCCCGATAGGCCAGAGATTGTGGAGAAGCTGTTAGCCCTAGCAAGGTACCATCCCTTCCCACCTAGCATCAAATTTAAASTTCAAGGGGAAAAGTAAATTTAGCAATAACACCTTTACAGGCAAATTTAAGAAACGGTGATTCACCACATTGAGAATAGTAAATGTTGTGCATGTAAGAACAACTATCTCTGGTGAAATTGCCTTTATTTTAGACAGACTGTAAGCTCAGCCTGAAATTTGAACATCAATCCGTATTAATACAAATCACAGACCCAGTCATGGCTGAGGTTCTTTAAGTCTCCTTCTGACCTCAGTTACTGCAGAGTGACACTGATCTTATGCTTTTGCCTCCTGAAAGGAGCTGCAAGATTCTGCTCTTTGAATCTAGTTGTGTTTTAYTGGGCACAGATGTCCAAGTAAGATTCTGTGCTCTCTGCTGGTAGCTCTTTAGACTCTGAGTGCTTTGCAGAGTGTCAGAATTATGCTCCCTTTTGATTGTGTGCAACGGGAGAAAACCCCTAAGAACAAAACAGTGGCCAAGGTGAAAATGTAATATTGATTTATATAATAGCACATACARATATATAATTTCGGATAGAAAGTGTGGATGCAGCCAACTGAGGAACTCACCAAAATCTAACTAGTGTGAATTAGTCATGGACAAAATTCTTCTTTAAAGAGAAAAGGAGAATGTTGAAGATACGCTCAACTTCTTGGTAACTGTAGATATTTTAAGAGTTTAGGCCTTTTTATTTCATAGCAAAATGTTTTTATTTAAAAATAAATAAAAAAGACAAAATAGTGTACATTTGGAAAGGAACCTAATTGGTCAGAGTTTGTCACTGTTGAAGGAGGAAAGGGGAGGTCAATATAACGGAGGTCAGAATARTGTTCTTCCAGCAGCAAATTATTTCTGTGCATTGCAAGGGTCTGACACTTAGCAAGTTTGCAGATATAAAATGGGCCATTTGATGCCATGGAGGTCTATTTGTTTAAAGCAAATGGTATAATATGCATGGGGACCATTCTTGTGTAGTACGTTTTAAGAGGAAAACTGTGGTTTGATTTGAGGTGCAGAAAACTCTTAAACTTCCCAGGAAAATGCAGAATTGTATCATGTTTATGACAGAGAACAAATATAAATAGGCTGGTAGTATTTCTGTATTTTTTTTTAATTTATTTTTTTCTCCCTTAAAAAGCTATCTTGAACTTTTTATAAAGTGTAGGAATCCAAACGCTRTTGGGCAGATTAGAGCCAAAGAGTYGTGCGTGTAACTCACTGTGYTGAACTTGGAAGATGAAGAGGGAAGGAGAGATTCCATTTTAGGCACAGCCTGGAGAACCTGTTTCTGCAGAAYTGAGAATTGATTTTGAGATCAAAATGAACCGTTTTTAATGACACATCCATGTTTTTGCTGTGCAAATATGGAAGAAAACTGCAACACAAGTAACAAGACATAGACAGGTCAGGGAAGGAGGGCTTGGTTAGAGTTTGCAGTGGCCTCTTGACGCTGCCTGTATTTCAGACTTGGAGTAGGATGAGTCTTGTGCCCGTTTTTCTCATTCTCTTGCACTGTGTGGAGATCACTTGAATTGACCAGTCACTCTGCATGTTTCTGATATAACATCGTTTTATTGACAGCTTCTGCTTGGAAAGCCACAAGGCTAGTGGAAATGACCCAGAATCAAAGAAAACCCTTGCACTCATCCATCATTTTTAACTAACTTCAGCAGTTTTGTTTTGTCTCTTCCTTGTGTATTTGTTTAAACTTTTTCCAAATCTTGCCACCATCTATGTGCTGTCATTTCCTTTTCTGTCCTTTTCTTTCTGTGTTTATTTTTGTTGTTTTTGTTTTTCTCCTCCTGCAGAAGCTGTAGGTTGACACCCTGCAAGTCTAGGTGCACATCAGCATCTCTTTAGTTGAACATGAAGTCATATAGAATGAGACATAAACGTTATTTAGTYTTTTTATCCTACATTTAGAGACAAACATGACCATTGTTAAACAAGTGTATTTTTTAATTTATCCATGTTTATTTACTATTTCTGTCTAACCTGCTGTTCCACAGGCTGCAAAGCTTCCCCTTGCAATGGGTGTACAGTTAAAGAATTAAGCAACACCAGCTCATCTTCAAAACGCAATAGAAAGAAAAATCAGTGACAATTCAAATAGAAGAGGTCAAAATTACTAGTCACTAAAGCTGCGTAGGCAGCTTCTATTTCTAAAGAAACTAGTTTTCTTCTGTTTTACAGGCACCTGTCTGTCAGATATGGCCTGTTGCCTTTCAGTACCCCCCTTTTCAACGCAGGGCAAGGCTGGGGGGTACTGGCACCTGTAAGATTTAAGCATAGGGGTGTGCAGAGCTGAAGCCTGTAGGTTCCCTGGGCTTTGAACAGTCTTCTTTAGCTCGAAGGCTGCGTGGGAGTTTGCAAGCAAGACAGCTAGTGCTGAAAGGTGTTCACTCAGACAAGCGCAAAAGAGAAAAATATAGGTGAAGAGTATGAGATAAGATGCATTGGACTCTGATTTGCTGTTTTAACCCTTGAATGTTCTTCTTAACTTCAGCTTTTACCCTCACAACTACCTGTTCTCTTTAATGCATAGCGGCGCTAGCTCTAACGTGTGCTTTGGGACACTTGTATTGTACCACCTGGCGACTTCACAGAAAGAGCGACTTCATGGTTTAATTAAACTAGGCTTTTAAATCAGCATCGTTTGGGGATATTAAAAATGAAACACTGTGTGCAGTACACCCGCAACGTGGTGGCAATTGATTATCTTATTCATAATTTTCATTTTAATTGCACGATCTACATTATGATTTCGAGCATTCACATGACTGCGTGCTTGCTGTTCTCTTCCCCCAGCCTCTCTCAGGAACAACTGTATTACAGACAACTTGGGTGTTTCTGAATTTGGGTGTGGGAAATTGATGGATTTAAAATAAAAAAGGAAATGTGTAAAGATTATAATTAWTATTTTACCTTGAAAGTGTTGGTGTTGCAAGTGAATAGGAGCACATCCTATAATGTAGGTAACCCAGAARCATTGAGTTTCTGTGTAAAGAAGCGAGGATTAATATACTTTGAAGGCTTTTGTAAAGATCAGGAATAATTCCAGGCAGCAGATCATGGTGCAAGTTTCATTGCATACTGTGCTTTGACTAGTGATGAGCGTGAACAAACAGCAGCTCCTGACCAGAGAAGTAACCCTCTGGCATCGTAGGTAGTACCGAGCAGTCAGCTCTGCGAGTTACTGGCTGGGGAACTGGGCTCAATTCCTTCTGCTGTAATTCCTCCTTTTTATAATTGGAAGGACTTGCTTCCTGAAAACAATTTCAGGGCTGTTTTCAGAACAAACAAAACCCAAAAGTCGCTTTCCTCTTCCTCGTTGCTTTGGAAGTGACAGCCTTCAGAGTCCAAAGTGATTTAGTTTTAATTTTTTTTAGCTGTGAACCCTGTCTCTCTGCATGCTGAATTTTACAAGTGACTTGAAATGTGCTGCCTTTTTATTAATTCTTTTATTTATTTAAACTAGCTCTTATTGATTCTTGCATTAATCGATGAAAATCACCTTGGTTACAGTAATTCCATCTGAGAAATAAACAATAGAAAGAAATGACTTGACCTGGTGTAGCTGTGTTTTGCAGAGCTCCTTAATTAGTAAAATCTTCAGTGATTTATGCTGTGTTAGAAGGTTCATGTTGAGGTGAGGGGTTAGGTTGTTGTCACTGAGTCCAAAGAACTCACAAATTGCAGTGGCCTTCCTATTCCCCCTTTAGTCTTCCCAATGGCTGAACGTGAGTTTTCTCCTTCAGGATCTGTAATTTATGTATTTATGGATGGTGACACAATGGGCTTCTGAGCTGGCTGTCCTCTAGATACTGTTACACCATTAATAATARTTTTGTGCTTGGGTATTCCACGTAGATACCAAGTTAGATGGGCTTTTGTTGGTCAGGCACCAAGGGGAGGGTCCTGTGCTTGTTTTTAGTAACTTTAATGCAGTATAGATGGAGCATAAATGAGAGAATGGTGAATATATCATTTAATCATTTGCTAGTCACTGTTACATACCYGATTTATGTAGACTATTCTTCTATWTTTTTTTCATGCAGGCCTTGTGAGTAACATCATTTTCACAAGTCACACTGCTGAGCAGAAGCATCCGCTGCTTGTGCAGCTGCAAAACCTCATCCGGGCAGCAAATCCCACCGTCTCGTTCATCCTGGCAGAAAATGGAGTTGTAACTAGGTAATATTAGTCGTTTTCTRGGATTTGTTGTTTTCAGCAGATTGGACACAGCAGCTTGTGTTGTCTGGTGTTTCTCTAGTGTTTCATGCTAAGGAGTTGACTGTTTTTCCTAATTGCATCCCATTTAAAAGACACTTTCCTTTACATGTCTCGTTATACAGATACAGAGATTAGGAAATGTATGTTTCTATTTGCAAAACWGGCTTATGTTACTGTTGCTGTGATTCCAAGTGGAAAAAGTGCCCACACTTTACTGTGACTAATGTTGTGTTTTATTTAAAAGCCATTTTATTGAGTCTATAAATTAAAAATCTTAATCTTTATCTCTTTATAGGAATGAGGATATTGAATTAATTCTCTCGGAAAGCAGTTTTTCAAATCCTCAGATGATGAGAGCTCGATATTTAATGTATCCTGGCTGGCAAGTATCTAGACTGCAAAGTGTTCTAATTAACTTGAAGATTTAAAAGTCTCACTAACTCAATTTATATTTTCTTCAAGGCTACTCATTTGGAACAAACTTTGTGTAAATCATCTTTAAAAGAAAGCTGATGAGTATTCTTAGTAGATACACTATTGCTGTCCTTTTATGGGGAAAAGGATCCTTTTTGGCACCCTTTAAATCAACGGCAAGATTGCTGTTGCTTTTTGGAAGAATAGAAAAGAACCCTCTGGGAATGAGCTGGGAAGGRTTGGGATGGGTGAGGTCAATAATGACTAGTGTAATTTCATTCTGACAGCTATTCAGCCTTGCTGGAATGAACTTGCTCTGTCACTCTAGTTATTAGCAGAAGAATTATTCATTAGAAAAAGAAGCAGCAACCTTACTGACAGTCTTGGCAGAAGCTAAGGGCGAAATAATACACGGTACCAAGCGTTCCATCTAATACCAGGTGATATTTTTCAGGGATCAGGGAGCTTTACACATCTTGTTGCAGTTATCTGTGCTGCACTGATTTGGCAGAAAATATAAACCTGTCAGCCATGTTAAGGCCTGGATGATTCTTTTTTAGTTAAAATCATACTGTTGAAAGCACAGTTTATTAGTTTATTCATCATAGTTTGCCATGTGTGCAGCTTTTTATTCAAAATTAATATTTACCTCTAAACCACATCCGAATAAGGCTCCTGAAGTGAATTAATGTGAGGTGGTGAATGTTGGAGCTGCTTGCAGAGTGCATATAGCCACAGGAAGAGAGGTATAGCTGAGAAGTAAGTTATTTAAAACTTCTTAATGGTATGCAAGTAAAATGCAAGTAAAAAAAAATAAACACTAGCAGCAAGAACATTCAAGTGAGTCCCTAGTTCTTTGAACCTAATATAATTAATATCACACTTTTATAGATTTCTTCTTAGAAAATAAACTTAGCATTTTATTTTCAAAGAGAAAGCTCATCTACTGTAAAAGAATATTCTTCTTTTAAGAAGTCTGTTAGTTGGAAAGGAAAAGCGTGTGTGTTTTCTGCATGTTGAAGGTGTGTGTTTCTTTGTCTTAAGGTATGAAGGCAAATTTGGAGCTGGGTCTGTCTTTCCACCAATGGTTCAGATCTGCGTGTGGTTTAATCGTCCTCTAGAAAAAACACGATTTGTGACCAAATGTAAAGGTACAAATGCACTTGGACAGATTTGAAAGTTGAGAATACTGAGGAATGGAGGGAGAGGGAAAACACTGAGATAGTACARCTCTTCAGTTGATGCTGAGACAGTTTTAATTGGAAGTTCAGTTTCCCTTCCTTAATGTATAGTAAATGATCTTTAATGTCTGCTCTGGAAAACTAACCTGTGATTTCATTCCAATGAAAGTCTAATTTCTCATTTGTTTTTGAGGGGTTGAGGTAGCTATCTCCTTTGGCTTTTATTTTTTAGTTTGTTTTATTTATTTAGTAGTGTTCGAATGCTGCTTATAATGAGTGTCTGCTCCTAGTGAGCTCCTAGTGAGTGTCTGCTCCTACATTTTATGGAGAATTAATTCTTTGTAGTTACTACAAAATGGGCTCACTTCTGCATTAGGCTACTATAATAGATACTTAATCCCGCCTTTCCTTAGTTTGCTCCTTAGCAAAGCAGTGCCTTAGGGAGCACCGTTTTACTTGCCAAACACACTGTAGGCATTCATTATGCCAAACACATTATACCCCCCTCCCTATAGAGAAGAAATGAGAACATATAGGAACGTTATGTTGTATGGGCTATAGGGGACTTGGCAGCATTTCCCCCTGAAGCACTAGGATATGAAGCAGAACCCACTTTTTTTTTTTTGCCCAAAAGCTGCACCAAGAAAAAGAAGTGAGTTAATCTCTCTGTCTTCTGTTTCAAACAGCGATCAAGTCATTGCTCAAATCGAGTCCTTTCTCTGGAAACATATACCACATCATGGGCAAAGTTAAGTTTTCAGGTAAGGGCAAAATACTTACGCAGTGTCTTGTGACTGCATTTCATGTGCTTGTATTTGAAAACTYTTTTCATGCTGTATTTAACACTACATAAGTGTTCAATTAAATTATCCAATACTGAGACTTACTTTCTTCCTCCCCTCTGTTTTCTCCTGGTTAGATTCTGATAAAATGATTGAAGTCTGTCACAATACATCATCTAATTTGCTAAGCCTTGTGCCTGTTCAGGAGGGGCCAACTCCTCCTGATACAAGAAATGATAATAGAGAGTGCAGCAGTCAGCAGGAGTATTTCCTTGTGTTCATTGGCTGCTCTCTTAAGGAAGAGGATATAAAAGACTGGCTCAGAGAAACTGCCAAACAGGTTTGTGGGCATGTTTACTTTTGTTCACTGTGATCCATTTGGCATTTCTTAACAATAGGAGAAGAAATCTGAATGTCTCAACATTTTTTTTTAAACTAATTTCTCTTCCACCAGGGCATTAACATTTCAGGATAAATGTATTTCAAGCCGAGGACTAACAGTTTGCAAATGTGTATTATAATTCGTGTATTATTTTAGTATCTGCTACAGCATATTCATGGATTGATCTGCTGGTCTTGAACACTTTAGCAAGTGGACTGTGTCCAGAATAAACACTCAGTGATTTAGCTGAGATACGGTTGCCAAAACCTAACACGTAGTATGGAATAATTCTTCTTGAGAAGAACCTTAATACTGCAAAGTTAAACTTGTTTTGATTCACTAAATTAAACCTCCTTGAAAATAATGTGGCAAAATGGAAAGTTTCAGGGGTTTTTTGTTCATTTTTTTTCCTTGCTGAGATAATTGTTATGGTTCTAACTCTGTGCTCTTGTGATGTACATTTTGGAACCTTAATTACTTAAAAAATWCTCATGGTTACTTCTTAACAGCTTCAGATTTGCATAATATCTTTCAAAAGTTGTGTAGGGCATCAAATAAGCTTCCTGCACACCACTTAGAGCTGTTCCTAAGGAGTTTCGGTTTCCCAGCTCTGTTCTACTAACAGATTATATTACTGCAGGACAGTGTAGTTCTGTGATGAGATCTAATTCATTGTATATGTGCGTAATACATGGAGACAAATGCTTTTGACACTTAAAATATTCTGTAGAGTTTTAATTTTACGAAAACTTTTGACTCAAATTTTCCTTTTTTTTTCCTCCAAGAAAGAACCTGTAGCATCTTGCCTTTTTGTCTCGCTGCTTCTTTTAGTTTGATTGTTTTTTTTAAACATAACTACATTGTAATATCAGACTGTCACACAGTAAATGTGTAACCGGGCTATAACTCTTTATGCAGAAACCTCAGAGGAAAGCCCTGAAAACCAGAGGAATGCTAACCCTTCAGGAAATAAAAAACATTCATGTAAGTAGAAGTAGTTAATAGCAAGTCTTCCTTTTGGCTGATTTCCATAACTACTAGAAGTAATTAATAGCAAGGCTCCTTCTGGCTGATTTCCATAAAAACCCATCCGTATGATGGAGCATCTCCCATATCTGTCATAACAAGTGTGCCCAGCACTGAATTATTATCGCACTTACTGGCTTTTATATACTCAGAAACGCAACCAAGGCTGTTCAGGAGGAGTCTGAGATGTAAATCTTGGTCTCGTGTCAGCATTTATCTTCAGGGCTGTAAGAAAGCAGGCGGAAAGCAGATGGAAGAGTAGGACACTTTTGTTTGTGTGGTGATCTGCTCTTCCCCATCTTCTCCCTGTCCTGCACGCTGCAACACTGCAATCTGCAATTGCAAATCACAGCCCTAAATGCCCAGTCCTGCCCCCGTTACTTACAATTCGGGATGTAAGTGCCATCTTTGGAGCAAGGCTCCCCAAATTTTAGCATAGCTATGATTAATGTTGTGCTATCTAACTCCCTGAGTCTACACGGACCTCATTTGTCATACTGTCTTTGCAAAGTGCTGCATTTTAGCCACAATCCATACCTTTCTCCCTGGCTGCTAAAGTTCAGCAGATGGATTTTTTCTAGCACATATTTAAGCTTATTAGGACTGTCTCTAGCAATTTCTAGTTCCAAATGTTTAATGTACAGCATATCACTTCTTCATTTAGGTGAAACGCCACTTGGATCCACTTCCAGCTGGTTATTTTTACAATGGGACTCAATTTGTGAATTTTTTTGGTGACAAAATGGATTACCATCCACGTATCCTTTAAAGTACATTTTGTTTGGTGRCTATCGTAAGTAGACTCCAGGCTGTACAAATCTGAAACAGAGACTGTCAATGCAGATGTGTTTAAGAGCCAGCTAATAGGCAGGTAGTAATATGAAGTGAAAAGTTTTGTTGCTTGAAGCTGTTCATGGCCACTTGCCATTTAGAAGTGTTATTAAAATGCTTTTTCAGATGTATGATCTAAGAAGCAGAAAGGAACCCAAAACAATCCCAAAGTGCTGTACATGAAGTCATGCAGAGAGTAATTTATGGGTCACAGCTTGTGAAAGAAATATTTTTAAAATGAAATAGTCCTGTAATGTTGCTTAATTTCTGGTCATGAGTGATAAAACTTCCAAATGAGTATAATAGTGTGTGCCTGCATGTGCGTGCGCACGCTGGAAGGGAAACAGGGGTGTTTTATGTTGTACTACAATACTGTAAAGATAGGCAACACAAAAGAAGATAATTTGAAACTTACTATGAAGAAAAAGCCTTATTTCATTTAAAGTAGCAATAATAATAGTATGCATAGGATTAATATCTTTTTGAATTTATTTAACCAACTGAAATCTGATTTTTTTTAAAACTGCTGAAGCATGGCAACCAGTATGATTTGCTCGTCAAAATGTGACATAAACACCTTCTGAATGTACTGTCCTTACTTTGCTGCTCTACAAGGTCTCATCTGATTTAAATTACACTATGGCCAAAGAAGGGTGCGCTAGCTTTCTTTTCTGAACTTCAAATTCTAAACTCTACTTTTAATCCTGATCATATTTCTCTCTGTGGCATGAAACTCCAGAGCAATACTGATGTTCCGATGTATTCTTCGTTATTGTTTCCCTCATTTTCTATCATTTTTGTCTTTATTACTTAAATTTCAGTATTGGGTTTATATTCTCAATTTACTTCTCTCGCCAAAATTTTGAACAACTTGACAAGAATTTTGTGATTCTCTTTTGGAGTAAGAACAAAGAGGTATTTGGCACATCTTATGGAAAAACAGATTTGTGTCTATGCAGTGTACCAGTAAAAAAGCTGGTAACAGTGGCCTTCAACTTCCCTGTTCGTTAGGCCATCACTCCAGCATTAGTTTTATGGTATGAGAGTCGATGGATCCTTAGGTGACTTTTCTTCTTCAGAAGATCCATTTAAATGCCCATAACTCTTACAAAGACCAAAAATATTCTCACTGAGCTACTTTCTAAATAATGCAGCACAGTTTCTCCATTAGCAGGCTCTTATATTTTTACTGCTAGTGACACACTCAAAAGTACATCCCTTGTCTGTGTCTGCCCTCTGAAACGAAGTTGTGCTGTTCCTTGAAACGCAGTAAGGAGATTCTGTAAGGTGATGAATGTTTCCTTGATTTGGAAACAAACCCCACAAGGAACCTGAACCAAGGGACAGGCAGTGACASCCTGACTTCTATTCTGCTTCTAATGTTTCTAAATTTTTCTTTCACAGCCTATGTGAGATGCTGTGAATGGACTCAAACTAATAGTCGCAAAGCAGTGGAGTGAGTAAACTGGTCCTGGGGTCAATCCTTACAGCCACTTCTCTTGAATTTTKCCTGATATTGTGTAATGTAGCCTAATTCTGTATAGGCACAATTGAGGATTTCTCTGAGAGCAGCTTTAATTTCCATAGGAGGAACAGGAGAGAACAGCCAGGGAACAAATCATCAAACTACTTAGCCTTTAGTTACAGCTAGGAGTGTAATGGATTTATAACACTACCTCCTAGCACGTGTGAATCACAGCTTTGGTCTGAGAAGTTAACTCCTCACAAAAGGTCACTGATGCTGCGACCCTGCTGCTGCYTTGCTCTTTGGGAGCAGAAAGAGTAGGTAAAGGAACTACCAACTTCAGGTTGACTTGAGTTTTTCCAAAAAAGCAGTACACATCTGCAAAACTGCTGTGGCTCTGTTGTTCTTAGGTTTTTCCTCTTGCCTGAGAAATGGCTCTTGTGCAACCCCTTTATCTCTATTAATAACGAGTAGCTGTGGTTAGGTCACCCAGAAGGTGATTGATTGTGTTTCTGCTCTCATTAAGTGGCCCTGGACTGAGTAATCTTTCACACCTGTTCTTCTCTAATAAACACTCTTCGGACAAATGTTATTTCCTTAATGTTTCGAAATGAGTAATGGACCAATTCATGAACGATTACTTGGAAGAAGCCAACAGAGAAATAGAGAAGTACAACAGAGAACTAGAAGAACAAGAATATCATGATCTCTTTGAGCAGAAGACATAAGCATGTGCATTCGGTGGATTTCCGAAGCGTCTACAGTCAGTAACCAAAAATGCTGTTGTCCTTGCTGGTTAACTAAAAAATTAGAAGTGAAATACCTGTTTTCAGCACTCCTTTTAAAAGAAAGAGATCACTCCTGTAAGGTTGGCATTTTAATCTGGTGACTGCTTAGCTGTTTGTACTGTGAGGTTTGCTTCCACTTCACCTTCATTCCAGATTGTAAAAAGCATCACCTGGAATCTCTGGCTAGTAGTGGAAACGTATCCAAAAGAAGAAGAAGAAGAAAAGAAGCAAAGCTGTTTTCTGGTAGATCAAAATGTAATCATGGAATTGGTCTGTCGTGCAGATGATCAAAGCAGTTTCTTCACTAGGTGTCCCTTGTTGCACTGATTTGGCGTTGAAAGGCAGCGGGGTACTGCAGCGTGTGGGACTGGGGGATGTTCCTAAAGCGAGAAATGGGGGAACATTTTAAAAGCTCCAGAGAGGGTGCCTAATCCTACTGCTGTCAGGGTGTTCCTAAAGCGAGAAATGGGGGAACACGTAGCCCCTCTGCCTTCTTCCAAATGCACTGTGCACTCTTTGATTCTGCACTTGAAATTTTTGTTTTTTTTTCCCTTCTTTCTGAAAATACGTTTATACATTTCAGGGGAAAAGAACATGCGGGGAGATATGTTTCCTCCCAGTTCTATAAAATGCATTACACTGGTTGGTGTAATCATGACTTGATGTTGCTTAAAGATTATCTTGAAAGATTCTTACTTCAGTAGTAAAAACCAAGTCAAGCAAGAAAAGGGAGAGGGCACGAAAAGCCAGGATTCTTCAGCTAAATAATTCCACTTTGTGGAAATAACTTATTCCCAAAGGTGAGAAATATCAAAATGAATGTTTTGAAGATGAGAAACCTTGTTTGTGGAGCCTTTCAGAAGAATTTGCACACTGACGTTTTAGAAAGCTGATACACTAGGTGTCAAGTACTTGCAGCAAATCCTCTACAGCTATTAAATGATACTGCAGTAGGAATTATAGCAACATATCCCTAAGTTAATTTAGTGCAATTTGAAGTGACACTATAGATCTTTGGCTGAAGCTCTATAAGGTACCTTAGCAGCTACTTAAACATAATTATTGCTTATTCAAATTATCAGATTACAGTAGCGTGCTATGTGCTACGAATTCAGAGAAGTGGAAAGCAGCCTGGGAAGGATTTTTGATTTTCAGATTCCTTTGCCTTAGGAACAGCTTGATCTCTTAATGTAGCTGTGATCTTTTTGGCCAGGTCTGTGTAATGCACTAAGAAATCACTGCAGAAATAGTTACACTTAACTGAAATCCATGCAGTGTCATTTTTATGAGAGGAGAAAGATATAGCTCCTGCTCCCAAACCTAAGGCTGTGTACAATAATACGCTGTGGGGAAGTATATTTTTTACCTTTGGAATCTGAAAAGGCTGAAATGTTAATAAACCTGTCAAAAATTGAAGCACCATCTAGGTAGACTTTAGTCTGTGTTGCTACTAGCTGACTTGGTGCCTGTACTGTGGTGCTTATACAGTATAGACGTGGAATTCCAGGTGCTGCAGATTGGGATATAAATGTGATAAGGTTTCRTTAATAGCTTTCCTACTAGACTGAAATTGTCTGAATTTAATGATTTTTTTGCACACCACGAGACTTTATTGAAACTACTTGTATCCTGTTGAAGTACAGTAAAAGCCAGCAATTAGGTTGTGTTTTTTAGGCTTTCGGGGGTAACCCGTGTCACAGGTATAGAGCGTCATGATAAGGCTCGTGAGTTATCTATGCATGGCTATACTTTAGTCTTAATATACTGTAGTGCCTGGTAGAGTAAATATAGCTAGCAGTGGATCCAGGGGCACTAGTGGGTGGTGATAAACTAAGTACAGTTGGCTGCATGAAACTATATGTCAAACGAGGATTATTAAAGTAGAGAATTCTGAAGGTAAAACTGCAATAAAAGGGGCATTAGGAAAATTTAAAAACCCTCGTAGCTATTTGCCAATAAACTTAGTGTTAAGCCCAGTGTGCTCCATTCCAGTAGGAGTTATCTAATCTGCAAAGCCATATTTCTAGAGTAGTGGGATGACTCTGTAATGTCAGAAGAAGCAGCGGCCGTTGAGACGAGCAGCACCTTGATGCTTGGGCTCAGCCCGCGAGTCGAGAAGAGCGTAGGTTTAAGTGCAATTGATGAAATGATAGCTGAAGATACTGTAGCTTGTTGGTTTGCTCTGCTSAACTCTTTTTAAGAACTCCAATTTGTGCAAGCCTCGAAAATAAAGGGGCTAATTCAGCCGGGTTGGCAATAGGGATTTGTAATTGCAGCTGAGAAATGCCCGGTGATTCAAAAGAAAATACATATATAAAACTGGCCAGCTACTGTGCAAATTGAGCAGTTTTTTAAAAACCGAGTCGGAAGAGCTCCAAACAAAGCCCTAGTATCCTTATATACTGTACTGCATGCTATATGATAATAACTGTGTAATATGAAGACCTTTCACCATACTGGTACTGTTTCAATTAATATATTTTGGTATTGAAATCATTTGATTACCTCAATTTTTTTAACAAAAAAAAAAAAAAACAAAAAACTGTGACTTTAAAATAAAACAAACAAAAAAAATACCGAAATAGTGAAACTGTGACGATAGTATCCTTTAAATACAGTAGTGCCTTGCAGATGACGCCATGGGTGCTCTAAGCATAAAATAAATGGACGTCATGGGTTGTATTGCTTGCAGCCTCTTTTTTAAAGGAAAAACGGTTTTGGTGAAAGGACTTTCAAGTTAACCTAGTGAGAAATATTAGCACAAATGGTTAAACTGTTTTTTTAAAAAAAAAAACTCTTTGAGGACTAAAATAAATAGCTGCTGMTGATGATACTTTAATAGCAGTTGCTGATTATTTTGGAGTTACTTCTTATGGTCAGCAGCACTTTTTTTTTAATGAGAACTTTTGTACTCTGGTCAGAGATGTTTGTACTGTATCGAAACCCATCTGTAGGGTAATCTGGTTTTCTCACCCTTTTGAAGTTGGGGTGAGGATTAAGTTACTTCAAATGATCTAGTTTTTTAGCTACTGTAAAAACTATTAAAAAAAACCCTACAATTTCTAAACCACAAATGTTTGGATACATTAAAAGTGCCATTATACTGTTCCTTGATCTTGTGCTGTATTTTGAAAACCGGTAACAGTAAATTTGTGTCCAGGCATTTCTGATATTGTGGAGAAATGCTCAGAGTCCTCAAGGGGTTTACATGCTTTGCTGACCGTCACGTTAGCAGCTCGTGTTGTTTCTCTTCCCCTCACAGAGAATGAGTGTGATCAGAAGTTACTGAAGTTATAGGGAGAAAAATGTGATAAATTTAGGAAAGGATTGCTTGCAACTTGAGCTGCACTGCAATCTAGGAGTATTTTATATGAAGCTGTGCAATTTGGTTATTTGTCTGTTTTTACACTTGGCATTTGGCAAAACTGATTGCAGGGAGGATTTAAGTTGCAGGTAAAAGTTCCTTACTAAGTTTTTTTTTTATTTTTTTTTTAATTGACTTTTCTGAATTTGCACAGATTTAAGCTCTAGAATACTTTGTTGGTATTCTTAAAAGGGAAAATTGTAACTAGTATAGTGAATTGTAAACTGTGAGTTGTTAGAACTGCATCGTTAATCTAATTTTAGATTGTTTAAAATGTACCTCAAAGTTAGTGAGAAATTGCTTCATTTTTACACAATTGTCAGATCTTGATATAACACTTCTCACTTTCCAATGTGCCAAAATTCACTTTTATACTAGTTCTCAATGCTTTAATATTTGCAACTTAAGTTAAAAACTTTTATTTACAAACACTACTGTAACTTCAGTTCAACTGAATTGTGTGATTGAAGCTTTTTGCCTATTGTATTTATTACACAACTTGATTCAGTAAATATAAAATTACCTTTCCATTTATTTTTGTATTGTTTTACATGTTTATACCTGTAGTTTGTGTGACTTTTACACCTGTAACTCAGATATGATGGAAAGAACCAATAAACAATATCCATCCTCTGTCATTCCCTTGATTTCTTTAAGTAGCTTACCTGGTCCTAACCTTGAATTTTTAAACATTTTCCATCTTTGTTTTAAATTGGGTTAGTTTTCTGAAATGACTGAGTAAAGACAAACACAGAAGATAAGGAGATTGTTTTTGTATTCACACTAAAACATAAAAGTAGAAGGAAATTGGACGCTCTTTTTAAGCTGCTAATTTTAGACCTTTTTGTATTGGCTTCTGATCTGATAGAATTTAAAACCGTGAGGTGTCTAAATTTCACACCTGCCACATCTTTTGGAAACTGTATTTTTCCATGAAGTTAATTTTTCCACTTCCCCATCCAGTATTTCTTTACTTATTCACGAGTATTCATCGTGGAAAATTTATATGGATTTATTGTAGACAAAGAGCTGATAGTTGCACACATGCAAATACAAAAGCTAAATCCTACTCCTTTTAATCATATGCATGATCTTCTGTGGCTCTGAAATGGGACTGCCGTGGAGAGGGTGATCCCACCTTCTCCTCCTCTTTTTGCTTTGCTGCATGGGAGTTGCATCACTTGGTTAATTAAGCTGAATGTCGGATTGACCAACACTCTTGCAGTTTTTGTTGTAGATAGTAGAGTGTTGCAGGTGGTTTCTTTTATGCACTGTTGATGTGAAAGCAGCAGGTCTGAATGCAGACGGTTCTGCAAACCCCAGGTATAGCTGCCCAAGAAATGGCTTCTGTTTTTTAACCTTTTGACTGAAATCGGGAATTTTTCACTTGCTAAGCAGCAAGATTTTGAAAGCATGAGCACTTTCATTTGTAGATGTACTTGGGCAGCATCCATTTCTTCTGAACTGTTGCGTGTATGCAGTTCCCTTGGACTCTGCGGTGTGATCCATCATCAAATGGAATGATTTCCCTATCACTATTTTTCACCTGAGAGAAGCAGCTACTTGTCACTTTATTCTTAGACTTTTAAACCCAGAAATGGCTCTTTTAGCTTTGCTGGGAGTGCTCAGACGCTGCTAGCAGTAGCATGTGGATATATCTTCTGAACTCAAGACTTTGGGCTAGACATCAATGGAAGCCAAGCAGCTGGGAAGGTTTTCCACCCTGGCCCCAGCTGCTTCCATAAGGAAACCTATTGGCTTTATTCGTATCTTGCCATGCAGTTGTTCCAAAAGTGCTCTTCAAATGCAGCTTAAGTCGCCGTGAAGGTCAAAGAAATAAAAGCTGCTTCCTTTATTATGTTTTTTTAAGCCTTAGTTATCCTTCAAGTGTGATTATAAGTAGTGCTTTGGTTGCTCTTTCTCTGTTGCGTAACTGCTTTGGGCTCCCTTTGTTTTCTTCTCGTTCCTCAGATTATCAAGGTTTAAACTGAGGTCAGCTTGTGTTTGATCATTCAAAATGTAAGAATTGTCACCATAATAGCTGTGTGCTGCTAAGGATGCTTCACAGAGTGGAGAGCTCAGATCTGTTGCTCTCCCTGGGCTCCTACCCAAGCGTGTGTTGCAGACGCTGGTCTGAGCTCAGGAAGGGCGTGTTACAACAGGAGCCCTTGAAAGGAGGCAACGTAACCTAAAAATACAGAGCAAGATTGATTTATTTTTTATTTTTTTTTTAAGATGGCAATTTCTGACTTCATGATGCAGTTTTTTTTTAGCTTGTATATGTAAAGTATATAAATATGTATGCATAGATATATGATGTATACCCCCTCAATTCCTCTTTCTGTGTTTCCTGTGACTAATCCACTTGACACAGGTGTGCCTTTCTACCTGTTGCTCTTTTCTATTTTGTGATATCCAGGGTACTCCATCCGATTTAGTTATTTTTCCATGGCAAAAATCAGGAAACCCCTCGTTTTCTTTTCCCTACCTCTTCGTCAGGAATTCTAAGCCTAGAACTTTGAGAAATAGTCCAGAAAACACTACTTTCTATCTGTACAAATTCAAGTTTGAATCTCTTCATACTGGCATCAAATATTTGCACATTCACCAGTGTCATTCCAGTAGCCCAGATTTTAAGCTGTCTGTGAAGATGCATCAACAGGTCTTCTAAGAAGGTAGTGTTTGGGGGCATTTCACGCTAATTTAACTTGGGAATCATCTTTTCCGCTATTTGTGACATAGGAATTACRTTTGTGCCTTAGGAAAACTAAAGTGGAGTGAAAGCCTTGAGAAGAACACTGTACATGGCTCTGTTATTCTAAATAATCCACTCTTTTGACCATCTCCTYTGTGGTGTATTCCTGTGAAAGAAGGACATCTGGGCATAGCTGGGCATTTCTCTGCCTTAACCTCTGTCGCTTCCTTTYCCCTTTCAGGTTGGCCACCTCATCTGGTGGGATCTACGGGCAGACGTTGATGGAGCTGAGGTTTCCAGCCCCATTGCACGGATGCCGCTGSTGGAGCCTCAGACTCCTGGGTTTTGGTCAGTTGGCTCCAGACGTGGCAAAACTGTTTATGTAGTGTCTGCGGTATCCACATTTCAGTGCTGATACTGTGGGTTTGTAGATGAAATCTCTGATGTGGGAGGTTAGGCAAGATCTCCTCTGACTTGGAAATCTCAGACTTTTCTGTTTCGATTTGTGCCTTTTTTCTTTCTTTCTCCCAGGTGCAAATTTACCCTTCTTACTGCCAACAGCTGGGGACAGGAGGAGTGCACATGTGAGCTCTGAAAGAGCTTGGATTGTCCTAGAAAACAAAAAAAAAATGGGTTTGAAAGGACCTCAGCAGTTTGGCTTCTTCATCCCCCTTATGGTTCAGACAGACTGTGCCCCATCAACTTGATATTCCCCTTCAGTAAGACAATTCCATTACTAGACAAAGAAAATACAGCAGGTCTTGTCCTCCTGGACTTGGCAATACTTTTGGTAAGTTTGCAAGAGGGGAAGCCATTAAATTGGAGACTATTATAGAGGTTGGTGAAGGAGGCACCAAGTCAGTAAGGAATTAAGATTGGGTGGCAATGTTGCAAGGAGACTGAATGAACTGAGAGAAGATTACTTAGGGAGCTAATGAGGAATGAGTGTAGTAAATAATTTTACTAATAATCTTTGTTTATACATTATTTTACATCCCTGGTGAATTTATGGAGGAGTGTTGCACACCAGTAAGTCAAGAAATGGGGAATTAAATGGAGGACCTTGAGGTAGCAGAAAAGGGGAAGCACTAAAACCCAATTAAACTGAGGATACTGACTGAGGGATATGACCTAATATATCAGGAAGGAACTGAAGAAGAAAACACAAATATGAAGCATCCTTAAAAAACAGTTGGACTCTGGGATGAGTCCTCTGAATGGTAGGACATTGGCAGTGTGACAGGGGAGAATCTAGACATAGGTAGATCACCATGGGGCAGCCTGCTCTCTTCTCACCACCTGTGCTCAAGAAAGAAATACTCGTGGATGTACAAGCGGGACTGAGCAGGATGGATCCTGTCCCTTGCTGAGCTGCAAATATGGGTTTGTCTTTGGCCTGACAGCAGAGCGGGCATGCAGGGGCCGTGGATGAACAGGGCAGAAGCCCAAGTCAATAAGTGAAAACAAAACCCTTAAGTAAGGCTAAGCCTAAAAAGCTTTGAAAAATAATAGCCAAGTGTAGCCTGCAATACAGATTTCCCAGGAGAGAAGAGATAGATTCTCCTTGGTAAATCTGAACATATCCTTGAAAGAGAGTTTTTAGTGATCTTCTTTGCTCTCGTTTATACATCTCTTTCATTTAGGCAGCTCTGGTAGCATCTGCAGAGGTTTCCAGTGCTGTTCAGTTTTTCACCAGCAAATCCGCCTTCCAATGCGTATTGATTTTGGAGTTTCTTAGCCTACGTGTCTGCAGACAGACGGTGCCTTGTTAGCTTTCCAAATAGCCAGCCTCATTAAAGTAATGAATTCACAACAGGAATTGCATGGAAATGGAACACTTGCTAATTGAATAGCCCTGAGTTCGCCTCCCATTGTAGACTTTCAACAAGGTGCTTGTATGATACCTCCTATTGAATTTGCTTAAAATAAACCATCATGCTAGTTTGATGTCTTGGTAGGAAAGAAAACACCCAATGGGCAAGGCCTGGAGGATTTAGGATTTCAATAGCTTTATTGCTCCAGTACAGACCAAAAAAAAAAAAAAAAAGGCATGGAAAGTAAAATCTGAGTGACCCATTCATGGCTAGGAAATCATTAGGCACACAATGTATTGTATAGATCACTGTAAAACCGCCCGACACGAGTAAAACAGGAAATTTATAATAGTTAAAATTGAGCCTTCAGTTCACCCCACCAAAAATCCTCTATTTTTCTGYGTTATCAAAGTTAGTTCAATATTTGTTTTATATACATCCTGTTCCGGACTTTGATTCCTCTATATAGTACACCTTCCTGCCTTCTAATATCTGATTTATTACATAACCACTTTTCTTCTGAAGCTTTTGCTTTGCCTGCTTTAACTCTTTATCTTGTCCGCGTCTGGGTCTGCCGGGAGCCTTTTCTTCTAGCTCTGCTTGCTATTCGTGAAACTACAGAGAAAAGAATAATCCAAGAGCTGGTCTGCTTCCACCTSCTCTCTGGAGCTGGCAGAATGGGAAGGCCATAGGGAACAT